CTAATCACATTACAGCCACCAGCGCTCCCCGGTAACAGGGTTCAGCATCTCCCTGGGCTTTTAGGGACCCCATAAGTGCCTGGTTCCTCACAAGGAATGAGATTAGCATCCTGTTTGTCAGAGAGGGATTTTAAGTGTCTCTGACTTTCTTGAAACTAATATTTGTAGCTCCTTTGGTTGTCACACAGCTGGACCCTCCCCCAAATACCTCGTTGCAGTGACATGTTGTTTGCAGACTGGGAGTGTCTGGGCTCTCCAGGGTAGGAATTGTCACGCTTACGTGTTGCCTGGCATGGAGGAGCCTCCAGCCTTGGTCTGGGGGCGTTAGAAGAGGCTCCGGGAGGGTTTGACATCTAATCAAATGAATGGAGGAAGGGGTGGCAGGAGCTGACTTGCATCAGGTAATAAATAGCTGCCAGCCTCGTGACACTGCCAGGCTTGCTGGGTGGCCTTGCCCCGCTCCCAGGAGGTTGCAGTCGCTCTGGGCCTTGCAAAAAAACAACATTCTTCCAGCCTTGAGATGGAGGTGAGCGGTGGGAAGAGAGACCCAACCGTGCGGCAGCACACACAGCTCCATCTGCTCCACCCATCCACGTGCAACACGCAGACATCATCCGTGCACGGGGCTGGTGCTGGGCTCGCGTGGGAGCAGTGCTTTGTCTTCCCAGGGGGCTGTCAATCCGCTGTCAGATAAATCTCATGGAAAGCAGCGAAATAACCGGGCTCCCTGGAGCTACAGAAGGAAATTATTTAATTGTCTTTTTTAATAGAGAAAGGGGTTGCTCGCATGCCGCAACTAGATGTCATGAATAGGCTGATTTGTACTGGAAAAAGCTTCTTAAAAGGCAAGTGTGTTGCCAGAGGCTCTGCAGAGACTCTGTGGAGCATCGTTTTGTTTTGACATGTCAACAGTGGTATTAATTGAGTGTGAGCCAGGAAAATAGTAAACACTCCATGTAAATGAATGGGTCTCTCCAAGACTTAGCAGAGTCTTCAGTAGCAAGTCAGAGCAGTGCCAAGGGTGAGGATTTACTCAGACTTCAGAAACCAGCCTGTTCCTTTCAGGCCATGCGGGTAAAGTTTTTTTGTTTTGCTTGGCATATAAATTAACCAAAAAATGCATTTTGATGGAGCAACAAAGATACTGAGAATGTGACAAATACTTTAACAGTATTGTAACAGTTTATATTCTGCATCCTGAAAAATGTTTAACAAGGGTAGTCTCAAAACACCCCAGACTTCAAAGCCTCTGTCATGAAATGTCACTCTTGGTTTTTGGGAATGTTCAGCTGTTCTTTAACCGGCTTGGTTTCTCCCCCAAATTTCAGCGCAGCCTGAACCTCCTGAGGAGCAATTGGCTGAATACAAACCCATATCCTTGCATCTTTGGCCAGACAAAGCCCTGGTCTTGCTTCGACATCTCTCTTCCACTGAGCATTCCTGTTAACATGTATTTCTGGCTTTGCACGTCAGGGAAGCGTGGGGCATCTGAAGCCCAGCTGGCTGCTGAGCAGCAGCCCCGCGACCAGTCCCCCAGCACTGGTTTCTGCCTCTGGTTTTGTCTCTGCTTGTGTGGTATTCCCAGCTCTGGCTACTGCTGTGGCTAGTGGAAGGAAGGAAGCATTTCGGTGCCGCGATGCTGGGAGGGAAACCTGCCGCTGTGCAGACACTGAAGGCGAGTGACTAAGGCTTTCAGCTGGAGCAATCCTCCTCCAAAGCCTTTTCCCTTCTGCCACGTCCTGCTGAGCTGTGAGTGTGAGTTTTGCAAGTTGGCAAGAGAAAAAAGAAAGTGATAAAGCATGAGAAAACGCTTTAGCAAAATACTTCCTACCAGTTTCTGAGTGGTTACTGAGAGTACTTAGAAATAAATACAGACTTAAAAGCAAAGGATACCTCCTTGGGCTCAACATAAAGGAGGAAGAAGAGCGTCCGTCTCCCTGTACGGGCAGGTAACTCGCTCCCATTTCTTGCCCTGTAGCACAAGTGCCCCTCCTGCACCCCACGCCAGAGGTTGCGGTGCCTGGGCAGCCCCGCCATGGTCACTGGGCAATGGTTTTAATGGCTGTCAGGCTAATTTTCAGGACGACTCGCCCAGTTTCCTTCTAGCCGGGGAACGGCAAACCCCTCCGGCGGCTGCTCTCCCCCTTTGTAGAGTTTTTGCTTCTAACAGATGTGTGTTAGCCTCCCGGCTGGGTGCTGCTCCCCTCGAGCACACGGCTGTTGAACCGCTGCTCACGCAGGGCTCCCGGCCGGCAGCGCGCCGCTCCGTCCGCGCTTCGCCATCGGTCACCTGCGCCCGGTCCCCACCTGCGGGGCTCCGGTTAGTCAGGCAGGGCTGGAGGCCAAGGCTGGAGACGTTTCTTGCTCGGGGTTAATGACTCTTCCCGTGGTGGCAGTGGAGGCTGTGCGAGGGCTGTGTCACCGGGCCACCGCGTGCCGGTGGGAGAGGGGCTGGCTGTGCCGCAGAGACGTACCGGGGGGGGGGGGGAGGCACGGCACCGCCTTGGCCCGGCTCTTCCAGGCCCCGGTGACCAGCACAAGTGAGTCACCCCTCTGGGTAAGGCAGGGAGGGGTGCACGGGGGGGGGGAGCCAGCTCTTGCCTCTGCCTTGCCACATCCTCCCAGGTACGTGGGATCTATCGCAACCCTGGCCTAAATAACAGCTGCTGGCGGGGAGGCTGGGGCCGAGCTACCCACCGGAGCCCTCTGCACAGCAGTCAGCTGGCTTATTTGTGCTGTTCTTCCCTCTCGGTGTTTCCTGCAGGTGAGCTTTTCCCATGTCTTTAAACCTTGACCGTGGTGGCTTCTATGCCGCTTCGTCATCCGGCAGCATCCCAGCGGCGGGCTCCCGTTGCTAATTACAACCGGGCAGCCTTCCCTGCCTGGGGCTGTTTGGGCTTTGCTGCTGTGACAGCTCTGTACAAACCGCCCTCCCCCCCCCCCCCCCAAAAAAGGATCATCTGGAAGTTGAAATTTTCTGACCTACGCATGGATTTGGTGCCTTGGGAGCGAGGTGATGGGAAACCTTAGATTTGGCAAAGCACGGCTGCTTGGAGTCAACCCCGGGGCTTTGCTGGGGCGACAGCTGAGTTTTTGCAACTTTGCTATAACCAGCTCCAAAACTGGTTTGACCTTTCTGGTATCGGCTCGAAAGAGGTCAGTGCTTTTAATGCAAATTATTTTCCCTTTTCAAGAGGTGAAGGCTAAATGTCAGGCCCGATGAATGGGCGACCTTCCATGGGGGTGGAGGGAAACTCCTGTGTGTGCTCCACCCCGTGCACTAACGTCACTTCCATTATGGGGCTGAGTAACGTTTTCCAAGAAGTCAGAGACAGTAGGTCAAAGCAGCGCTGTCATCCCTGTGGGAATTGCATCTGGCACAGACTAATTACTCTCTATTGAAAACCGGTGAACAAATCACATCTTGCTTTTTTTTTTTTTTTTAATTGAGAGCTGGAGACAGCAAGAGGCATGATGAGGGTTGGGGGGAGACCACTCCTAGGTTGACTGGCTGCCATCAGCACCTGCTTTCCCCATCCTGCCTCATGATGCTGGAGGTGTCAGCATCCCCACGCGTGGCCCTAGGAAGGTGTGGTAGAGCAGGGAGCAACACAAACCACTAAAGAAGTATTAACCGGTGCGTCAGGATGTCTGTATGGCAGGGAGAAGGTTTGCTGAGGTCTCCGCAGGGGGTCTTCAAAAAAGCAGCCCCGCTGCTTGCTGGAGGGAGCCGCCCTGCGTGACCAATGGAGCAGCTTCCAGTTTGGGTGCTTGGTGGGCGTTTTGCTCCGCTGTCAGCACTCCTGGAATCCAGCCCTTCAGGAAGACGAGCCTGCTCGGGGCTGTCTGCGCCCTACTTCCCCCTGCAGACCTCGAAACCTGGTGGGACGGAGGCGGGTGCTCGGCAGGGTGCTGGGGACCTGGCCCGAGCAGGTTTCTGCCAAGCACGGCCGAGTCTCAGGCTTACCCCAGATCCAGAAGCTCCACCGTGTGCTGCTTTTCGGGGGGGGAGGGATCCCCCCCCAGTGCTACTCTCAGCTGTTCACCTCTGCCATGACCCTCGGTGCTAGCCGCAGCACTTGGGGCAGAAAATAAACCCTCTGGCTGGAGGCACGTTGTGTGAGCAGACCGGCTGCGGGCCGGGGTTTGCCTCCACAGCTCTCCTTGCTTTAGCCCTACATTGTGGCACCTTCATCATTTAGGGCTGCGAGTTTGTGTTGAACAGCGGGGTGGCCCGCGGGGACGAGCCAACCCATTGCCCCGTTGCTAATAGAGGTCAGCCAGGCCTTGAGGAGAAGCTCAGGATAAGCAAAGCACCTTAATAAAACCTTTCCCTAGCTCCGTCCCAACACTGTGCTAGCCAGGCGCCAGGGTGGCGCTTCCCATCCGTGAGCGGAGCTGCTGAAAGGACAAAATGCTGTGAGGAGGGAGGAAAAACCTCCGCGTACTCAGCGCTGCAGTGATCCCATTGACTTTGAGCGTGCGCGCTCTGGTGAAGGAGGACCTGCGTTTAGGGCAGCCGCTCAGCTCTGCTTTACGCCATCCCACGCAAGCTGGCGGGTCTCACGCCGCTGCACAGGCTGAATTGTGAAATTTAAATTTATAGGAAAATATTACTGAGGTTAAAGGAACAAGCCGAGCGCCTCTCGCTGTCTCCTTTCCTTCCTGTGCCCTTGCTCTCAGGGTGGCTGCTGTGTTCGCCGGCGCGTTCCCCCAGCTCCCTTAGCAACCCCCCCCCCCCCCGGCACGCGGAGGGTGGCCAGGGCATTGCGATATCTCCTCTTGGATCCGGGGCCGGGAGGTGGTGTGGGAACCAGACAAGTGGTACCCGAGCTGACGGGCTATTTCGAGATCACCCCACCCCGGGCACGGTGCTCACGTCTCGCCAAAGGGCTGGAGCTGAGCCTTGACCGGGGCGTGCAGTCAGACACTCTCCTTTGACTCATCAATAAGTTTTGAGCTGTCTCAGGACTGTGTTCTGTCTGTCTTTTTAATTGCAGGTGGCTCTATGTCCCAGCTCCAGAGCTCCTGGGAAATGCACCAGCAGAGCGTGGCGTATCTTCCAGATACAGGTAAACGATAAACCTCTGCTGTGCGGAGGACGTTCTCCTTGGGGTTGTCTCTGTCTTTTCCTGGGAGCTTTCTCCAAGCAGCGTCGTGGACTAGGACTCCTGCCTAAAGGTGCTAGGACCATTGGCCTTGCTGAGTTTTAGTTGAGATACAGGTGAAACCAAGATTGGGGGGAAAACCTCCAAGCTCCTGGAGCTGCTTTGGGAGCTATGCATCCCCAGGTACTCTGGGGACATCACTTGCTGGCCACAGGGCTGGGCTTTGCGCGCAAGCTCTGCAGAGCTGCTCTCCCCTGGCCCAGGGGATCAAGAGGTGTCCAGGATTCACTGGGATCAGGCAATAGCAGTGTGGTAGACTTCAATTGTAGGGTTGTCCTCTCGCTTTTTTCTGAAATCACTTTTGCTCCAGACTCCCTGTCTGGAGTTACTGGGTGACCGATAAAGAGTATTTTATGCAGGAGGATTCCAGCACCAGCTAAAAACCTTTCGAAAGCAGACGAGGTGCAGCCAGGCAGCAGCTATCTGCCGTCCCCCTTGTGAAAACCTTTAGCCACACTTCAAACAAAACAAAGCGAGCCCTTGAATCAACGTTTCTCATCCCGAGGTGTGCGAAAGGGGTAACCCAGTCCTGCGTATGGGGAGACTGAGGCGCAGGAGCTGCGGTGAACTCGCGGGGTGAGCTGAGCTGCAAACACAGCCTGGCCCGCCGAGCTACTGGATGGTGCCGCCTGAAACTGCAGCTTTGGGATGGGCTTTACTGAGCCTTGGCACCATGGAAACATCTAACCTTTATTTTCCCGGTGCTCTTAGATACTCGGTCTATTCTGACAGCGGACACACTTCCATCACTGGATATTGTAAGCCGGGGAAAGTCTATTAAAAGCTCCATTTGACTGTTCATTTCAGCGAGCTGCGTTAGGAGCACTATTTCCTCCCTCCCTTGTTTACGTCCCTGTTGAGGGTTGTTTTAAACAACGTTCACTCGACTCGCGTTTGGGATTTTTCTCACTTACGGGAGCTGGCATGAGTGTGCCGGCGCCGCTTCCTGTCTGTGCACAAGGGAAATTCTGTACCAGTGTTTGGGCGGCGTGACCTCCTTCCCTGTGGTTTTGCAGCATCAATCTGGGTGAATTCTGGTCCCTTCAAGGCTTTCAGAAAACAAACGTGAAGGACTGAGGGGGGGGAAAAAAAAAAAAAAACGATCTGGGTTTGGGGTCTTCTCGCACCGAAGCACAGCAAACTACCGCGAGCGCGTTCGCTGGTGTGTTTAAAGCTGGGAGTATGGGAAAGAGGGATCAGTCCTGATTTTACTGGGTAGATGAGCAAATGTGTATGCGTATTAAAAACTAGCTAGAACCCGCAATGGTGGTGTTAGTGCACAGAGCCAGAGAGAACACAGAAGTTTCTCTTGCCGGATCGTGTTGAAGCCAAGGAATAATCCTTTATTTGCATCTAATTTGCTTTTTGTAAAGCTGTGACGGCTTTCTAAAATAAATACCTGGCTTTCTCTGCTCTCCCAGACATGGAGATGATGGCTGCTAGCACATCGCTTCCCGACCCAGCTGGCGAGTTCGACAGGAACGTACCCCGTATCTGTGGCGTCTGTGGGGACAGAGCCACTGGCTTTCACTTCAATGCCATGACCTGCGAAGGCTGCAAGGGCTTCTTCAGGTGAGTGAGGGTCTTCAGGGAGGAGGAATCTTACTCCATAACCAGCAAGCAGGCGATCTGATCCTCGGGGTGCTGCCTGGCTGCTCTTCCAGTTACCTGCATCCCTGCAAAGCTGGGCTGCAGACAGCTTTGCCAGACCTGTGCCCGCGTTGCAGACAGCTGACACGCCTGCAGGTCTTGATAACGGAGGGATCACAAACGATTTCCCTTCTTGTGGCTTGCTGTGGCACCCTGCTACTGGGAAATAGGCTGTTTTCCCCATAGCCAGAGATTTCCATCTGTCTGGGAGCCTTGCAGACCTCCACGTGCTCTATAGGCAGGAAGCGTAAGAGCCTCTAGCACGCTAAGGATGGCACCTGGGAGAATACACCTGAAACTTTGAAAACTGAACTGGTACGATGGCCACAAATTTATTTTCTTTAAAGCAAGCTGCCTCTAACGTCTGCTGGGATGCTCTGGGCACTCGTGTATGGAGATGCATGTGCTCCTCTGCCCACCTGCGGGAGTGGGCACCCAGCTCTTTTCCAAAATCAGGCAGTCTTTCAGTCACAGCTCTGGCTCTTGGGGGTTTAAAGGAGCTGTGGGCTGTACATGCAGCTGCTCTGAGCCTTTTTTCAATTGTAATTTGGGGGCCTTGGGTGGTCTCAAGCTTGGTCAGCAAGGCAGGAAAATCTCTGAAAGCTGCTGGGGTCTCTGGAGCCTGGAGAGTTGCAGGTTTGTGGCTGTTTGTTAGCGGCTGGGTTTTACCCCCGCGTCTGTCGAGGTGATGCTCCCGTACGGGCGGTGCTGAACCGTTCACGTGGGAGTTCAGATCGCTTGCACCGAGTGAGAGAATGACTAAGCCCTGGTGAAATGAAGCAAGATGATGACTGGTGTGGGACTGGCTGGGAAAAGCCTTGCTCAAGTATTTTGCACTGTAATGAGATGGTGGCACAGGTGGCTGTGGGATTGCAAACACCAGAGCGCACAGTTTTATGCCTTGAGCTGGGCTGTTACAGCAACCAGAGCTTGAACTTTCACAGCAAAATCATAGCTCCTCCTCTTGCAGGAATTTCGGGGCTAGATGGGGGTTTTCACATACCATGGTCTTGCATTCTGTTTTTGAACGGGGTGGCTTCAAAGCCTGGCCAACCTGAGCAACAACATTTTCCCCAATTATTGCTGCTAAATGAGTAACTCTTCTTTCGGGTGCCTTCCTCCGTGCTGTGGTCTGGTGTCCCTGACCTTCCCTGTCCCCGTTGTGGCTGCAGAGGCATTTGACCTCTGAAACAGCCAGTGTTGCTTGAGGAACCCTTCCCGGGTACAATATGACTCTTTGCACTAATGTTGTGAGCCCTGCTGCCGCGTTTCCCCATCTCTGTTGTCACACCGTTGCAATCATGCAAGACATACAACTGTGACAGTATTTCTGAGCAGACACCTTAACGATGTGAAAAGCTCTCATCTTCAGCTAGCCCTTCATGCCCCATATAAAGCTTTTATTTTCAATTTAGGGCTCTTACTACTTTTTTTAATCTTGCTTTCCAGGCACGCTCTCCCCATGCTAGGTCTTAGTGTGTTTCCCCTTTTGCTTCAAGAGCCTTGTTTACAAGCGATTTTCAATCACTGAATTAATTAACACTTGCTGCCGCCACAGTAATCTGAGTGCCTGCTGCAGTAAAATACAGCAGCACTGTCGTGGAGGAGTCTGGACCCCTAAAACTCTCCCAGACCAGTTGCGGATCCCTTTATAGCACTTTTAGAACAGGCTGTGCTTGTGTGCACTTGCTGTTTTTCAGCTTTCAGCTTGTGCTCCCTGAGCAGGTCTTTGAAGAAGGTAGGTATGGATTTTGGGTGGCCGATCCCACTTCCCTGGGAGGTCAGACTCGCCGCCTTGGCTGGAAGGGGCTAAAAGAGGGCGAGCGCCTGTGAGTGTTGAACTGGAGCAGCGAAACCTCGGGAGGGTTTCACAGAGCCATTTCTGGGGGCGCTCAGGCTGCAGACGTGGCTTAATCTCTGGAGTGGGACCGGTTCTCCGGTCGGCGGGGCTCTGCGCGCTGTCGCAGGGGGATGCAGCCTGAGCCTGGGCCCGCCGGGGTGGATCCCACCTGCCTTGGGGACGTACCTGTGTGACACGATTGCCCGGTGTGAAGTCCCCCCAGGAGGTCCTGGCTTTAATGACTCTATAAACAGCATTAGGAACTTATTGGCACCTCTGGGTGCTCAGACCCGCACGTAACCTGCAGCACAAACAGACATGAGGCAACCTTTGGCCGCTGGCTTCAAAGTCCGCTGTTTACTAATGATGCCAACGGCAACAGTAGCCTTTTATTGAGCTCTGCTGTTTGCTCAGGAGCACTTAAAGCAGCTAAACTGGCGTGATTTATTCTGCTGTGACTTGGCTGAAGCATCCACGGTTTCTCTGGTTTCTTCTACAGTCCTAGTTTTCCCCCCAGGGCAGGGGCACTGGGCGTTAATAGCAGAGCTGCTTGGAAAGCCTCTGGGTATTTCAAAACCTGCGAAAGCCCCCACCCATCCTGTCTGCATCTCTGCATCTCCTGTAATCCTCTCCAGTTCTTTGCCATGTTCTCTATGAAACTTTAAAAATAAACCCATCCCCTCTTCCTCCTTCCCCAGAGGTCCCTGAAGATATTTCAGGCAGTTGTCTGGAGGGTTCCTGGGATCAGAAGTGGGGGGATGGAGCTGGCTGGATTTGGGGGAGAAAGTGCAAATGGCTGCAAAACATGTGCCGCAGCTCTGCTCCTGGCGTTGAGCTGGCTCTCGGTGAAGCAAGGAGGGCTGTGAGGTGTGATGGGGGGAGAAGCGGGGGATTATCCTGCCCCAAACGGTTTGTGATGCGGGGCGAGGTGGTTCTGCTGCAGCCTTGGTGCCAGAATGACTCCTCGCCCATTAGCCGTGTGGCGGGTGACGGAAAAGATGTGCCGGGAAGGCCGCTGCGAGGTTTGGTTATGAGTAGAGCAGCTTGCAGGAAACAGTATTTCACAGGTTCTGCAAATGTGAGAGTTGTATGTATCGAAAGCCTATTTTGCTAATAAAAAAAACCCTCCGAGTTACTTGGAAGATCAGCCCTGTCTGGTAAAAGGGAAGGACGGAGTACAGCACCACTACCTGCCACGTGATGCAGGTCTGGTCTGGGCTTTGCCCTCTTTTCGGTGGGGGCTGTTGGGGCTGCTGTTCACCACCTGGCTTCTAAGTCACTTCACATTTCTGATAACCTAAAAGCTGTTTCACAGCGGCACCGGGGTCTGCTTTCCCCCTGGTGTGCTAGGTAGGACCGTTGGGCACGTGTCTACCAAAAACCAAGAACGGAGCTCAACTGCTGCAGTCAGGGGGGGGGTTAATGATGAGGTTTCGTGGCTTGTGGAGCAGGATTTAGGCAAATCGCAGTCCTCGCTGTGGCTGGAGTGCTCTCTGGGTCTCTTGGGCAAGATAAAACCCGACGGGCACCCGGCGAGCCGTGGATGGCCCCCCCTCCACACGCAGCAGCCCGGGCTCTGCAGTGCTGGCTTTGCAGGCAGCAAACTCTTATCTTGGGGAGCACGTATGGGAACGCTGTCCCGGTTTTTCCCCCCTCCACCACCACCACCAGGTTACAGACACCCCCGACCTCGGAACACATCGCACCCCGCTCGGCAAACCCCGGCTTCCCTTGCTGCTGCCTGCGGCGGCGTTTACCCTCACCCGCGGGCTGGCTTTGCGCGGGGAAGGATCTCGTTATTTTTAACATTCGGCAGCCTGCCTGGGACGCGGACCTTAAATGAGCCTTGAAATGGCTGGTTCTGGAGCTTTATAAAAATACAGCGGGGCCAGACGGCGTGAGGTCGGGCTGTGGGTCCGACGGCCGCTCCTCTGCGCCGCTGGTGTAACTCGGGGCCCCTGGTAGCCGAGAGCCGTGGACCCTTGGGGCAGCGAAGTGGCTGTTGTGCCCAGCCACCCTGTATTCGAATAAACTGCAATTTTCATACCAAACCCATAATGTTGGCTTGCCCTTGCGCACGGGACATCTTTCCCTGCCCGAGGGCCTCGTGTTTCTCCGGCTTGTTTGTGCATTCTCCAGCCCTGCTCTTGGCTGCAGGTGAAAAGACGAGCCGCCTGCCTGCCCCAGATGCTCAAAAACAGAGTTGCTCACTGAAACTGGGAGCTTTTGGGGTGTTGAGTTCCAAATGCTGATTTGCCCCTGAGCTGAGCAACGTTTGTCCCCATTCCTGGGAGAGCAAAGGTCCTGCTGGTCTTGGTGGAAGGGGAAAACCCAGAGAAAAGCAATAAACTGAGAGCCAGCTGCTGGGTCAAAGAGGAATTTCTTAGTGTGAGGCAGGTTATGGAGCACTCTGCCATCCGCTTCTCCTGTATTAATTTTCCTAAATGCATTTATTCATGTTAGGTGAAGGGAGAGTAAAGCCTCTTTGTTTACATCTCCCTTTCTAAAATAGCCTCTAATTGCATGCTACGTGCCGCTCGGGTCTGCAGCCCGAGAACATATTTTATATTTATACCCTATAAGCACAGGCTTGGCGCCGTTCCTGGGCTGGAGGGGCCCCTCTGCTGTCTCCCCCCTCAGCCCCCAGTCGCCCGTTTGGTGCGTCCACACCGTTTGCCTGTGGAGCACAGAGGTTCTGCACCGCCGGCTCAGCCTTGCGGAGGGGGTTCATTGCTAGAAGAGCGACTCTTTCTAGCAGGAGCCTTTTCACCCCGGTGCTGAAATGCGCCGTTAACTTGGTGGCAGATTTCTCAGCTCTGCTTCTCTGCTGTGTTCACCCCTCTGAGCATCTTCACTTCGACTTTCCAGCCCGGAGCCACCTCGGGCTTGGTTTACCTCCGTTCAAAATCACCTCTTTATTTAAAGCGAGCGGCCACCTTTAGAAATACTTTCAAATCCAGAGATTCAAATCCGGCTCGCCGAGTGACTTTCTCTAAAGCAAAGATGCGGCACCTCTGAACGCAGAGGAGGAAACCACCCTGAGTGGGCCAGCTCAGCTCTGCCTGCAGCGTGTCACTAGCGGATATCGCGCAGGATGGCCCCACGGAAAGGCGAGTCTGAGTTTTCGCTGGGAGCTCTGGCTCTGGCCCTTTGTATTTGGGAGGTTTACAGTCCCGACTGCAGCAGCGGATTAACGTGGCACGGTGTGGTTTTGGTGGAAGAGAGGGTCGTTTATGTTCAGTGTTGTTTCTGTTGTACCCTGCCAGTGAGATTTCTTTCTCCTGCACACGCAAACATGCACTCCAGCCAGTTATTCTAGCAAAGCCGGGCTTTAAAGGTTGGTAAATGTTTAATGACACGGGCTGCTTTGGTACATGCCGGCCTCCACTCTGGTTTCTTTTGCCGCTGGTGGGGGTTTCTCTACAATCCTTCCACCTTTCTTACGGCCTTCAGAACACCTGTTCAAAACCAGAAAGCTGCTTAACCCGTGGTTGAACCCCTCAGCCGTGTCCTTGTAAGAAGCTGTCCTTTTCCCTGCTGTCCAGCAACGCCTGGACCTCGAAGATCAAACCTGTAGATGCACCCAACCGGGTACAGCCTCCCCGGTTTAGTCTTCTCGAGGGACCAGCTGAGCTGAAGAGAGTCAGGTCAGAGATGCTTCCAGCGTCCTCTTAGCAACCTCTCTCCAGCAGTTTGCTGTCCAGAGAGCCGGGTTCCTGCTTGCATCTGCTCCCAATGTTTGGAGCAGCCTCTTGCGCGGTCAAAACGATGTCGACTTGACCCAAGACGGGGTTTTGTTTATTCTGCTTTGTTTTCTTTCGTTCCTCTCCAGGAGAAGCATGAAGAGGAAGGCCATGTTCACCTGCCCGTTCAACGGCGACTGCAAAATCACCAAGGACAACCGGCGGCACTGCCAGGCGTGCCGCCTGAAGCGCTGCGTGGACATCGGCATGATGAAAGAGTGTGAGTGTGCGGGCACGCAGCCCGATCCCCGGGGGGAGCGGCCGGCCTGGCGTCGTGCTGGGATGTCTCTTTCCTTCTCAATGATTTCCTTCTCAGGCGGGCGTGCGAGGGTGGAACCTGCGGGCCCCACAAGGATTCGAGGAGGAGGCGAAGGGCAGGGGACGTGGTGGGTAATGATTGAGAGCTGCTCGTTTAATGATTGAGGCTGTTCCTGTGGTGGTTAGCGATCTGGAGAGTTGTTTTTAGCAGAGCCAAGGCGCCTTTGCTGGCTCTTTGGGGGGGGGGCATCCGTTTAGCGGGAGCATCCAGGGCTGTTTCTGATTAACTCCGGGTTACGCTGACTGAACTTCTGAACTTATTCCCATCCCGCCTGTGCAAAGTCATCGTCCTCCCCAGCGTGTTTTTGCACGCTCCTCGCTGCATCCAAACAGGGAGAGCTGCATGAGCTTCCCTGCAGCAACAGTAATTTCCACTAGCGTGGAACTGGCTTGTGTTTTGCTCCACCATACTTATTGGGCTTTTTTTTTGGGGGGGGGAGGGCCTTTTTTCTTGCAATATGGGCCCGTCCATCCAGCCACGTGCACAGCAGAGGCTTAAGCAAATAAGAGGGGGGAAGTAAAGTAGTTTTTAACCCAATCCAAACACACTCATGTTGTCCAAATATTTATTTTCTTCAACTATATTTATAGATAAGCAGCTTTTAAAAATAAAATGTGTTTGACACACTTCCTCCTACGTACACTTGCTTTCCACGTCCTAAGTCTTCAGGAGAAGGCTGGTGTTCGCGTGGTGTTCAAACCAAAATAACAGCCTTCTGCTAGGAGACACTGCAAACAGGATGTCACCTCAAATGATTGATGACCTGAAAATTTGGAAAATGGAAGCGGTGCTCGTTTCCTTACGTGGCGAGCAGAGAGCAAACAGCATCTGATGTCACAGGATGCAACCAAAACACCTGGGTCCTCCGGAAAAATCCGAACTTGTAGGTGTTTGCAGGAAAAAAATGCCTAAATTTCCAATTGTCCCAAAGATCAGGCAGATCCCTGATGAAGAGATCCCTGGATCTTATTTTTTTTTTTTTTTTTTAAACGATCATCCATGTCCCATAAAGAGGGAGAAAAAGACCATGTAATACCCATGTTTTGTGTGAGTATGAGGACGTGTGAGCCCGTGGTAGCCGGTCGGTGCGGTCTATTTGGCGTAGCCGTTGTTACCGAGGGAAATGTGTTGACTTGCCCTGGTTAATTACCCAGGAAAGGCCGGAAAATTCAGCGGCAGCGATGCACGGAGTACTTCCACCCCAGCCAGGGCCAGGTCCCAGGGATGTGCATGCTCTCTGCAGGAGTTAACTTGTAAGCGACCTCGTTAGCAAACTTACTGGATTAAGGAAACCTAACCTAAGGAGGCTAAAAATAGCCTTCCTGTGGACTTTGCTGCTGGTTAAATGAAGGGGGACGAGGTGTGCTGCTGTTATTTTTAGGTCGAATCAGGGAGCTTGAAGCTCTTGAGGAGAGTTTGTGTCTTCCTCGGGCTGTTCCTGAAGGCGGTGAGGATTGTCACAGACAAAGCTGGGCCAGTTTGACCCCGCTGCTGGTGGGATCTGAGTCCGAAGCAGTAAATGAGAGCATGAGCAGGGGGTAAAGAGGAGGAGGAAGAGGCTGGCCTTGGGCCTGTGTTAATGTGGAGGTTGGTGCACGCAGACCCTTCTCCATCCCCGAGCGTGGGGCGGTTGATGGCCTGGATGATTTTAGCCACCCCCTCCAGCCCAAACCACGCAGGGCTGAGACCTGTGGCAGCGTGGCCGCGCCGAGGGTTCCCTTCCCCGGTGCACGGCCCGGGTTCGGGTGTAGCCAAACCTGTGGGCCAGGCGCTGCAGTGAGGGGCTTGGAGGAGCCAGGGCTTGTCAGGGGAGGCACAGCAAGGAAGGGCTTGCGTGTGTTCAAACTCGTATGGAGCAAAAACCCCGAGCCACCGGCGCTCCCCGGGGAGCCGGGGACAGCGTCGGGGCGGCCGCTGTCCCCCAAGGAGGGACCAGGGGAGGGAGGAGGTGGAAGCTGGAAGGCATCGAGGTTACGGCCATAAGGCTGCAGCGGGATTTATAGCTCCGCCGCAACGCCTGGGTTCACCCCGAGCTGTCCGCAGCCAGCGTTAGCAAATATTTGTGGGTTTCTGCTCGTCTTATCTGCGCGGGGTAAAGCGCAGGGCAAGCTGGGGGGGGGGGGGGGGGGCACGGGCGAGCGGCGGAGGAGAAATCCACCTCGCAGCCCGAGCCGGGGCGTTTGGGAACGCTCCTTTTGCCGCCCTCGGGGGCGGTTTCCCTTCGGATGCCTCCGAGGAGGGCAGGTCTCCAGCCCAGGGGTGCCTCCAGCTGCCCCGGCCCCTTGCTGCTGGTTTCTCCTAGGACGAGGCTTAGCACCAACGTACTTTAAAGTAGGGCAAAGAGCCTGTTGCTGGACTGCCCTGCCTGCTTTGGCACTGGGTTGGGTGGCCAGAAAATGCTGAAGTTGCCCCTTCTGCCCTGCAAAATTACATTTTGCCACTGTCTGGAGCTCAGGAAGCGATGTCTGTCCCTCAGGGCTGTGTTGGCCAAAGCACGGGGCGTTAGATGGACCCGGGCTCCTCAGCCACCCGTAACCTTCGGGTGATTCACCTCTCTTAGTGTCTCTGCCCCTTCTCCCCTGACCTTTAACGGCTCTCCAGTGTCCTCAGCGTATTCACGCAGCAGCGGGGGGACAGCTCGTCTGTCCTGCACAGTCTAAAGGTTTTGCTGCAAAGCAGGACGACAAATTATGCCTCACCAAATTGAGCGTCTAGAGGGACCCACGGGCTCCCCGGGGCCACAGCACTCTTACAGCATTGAATTTAACCTCTTCCCACCACCTCGGTCGCTGCTGGGGAATTTTTTTGTGGTTGTTGTGGTGCCAGTCAGCCGTGAATCAGTGAATCTCCTAGGGAGGGTCCCCAGCCATGTCCTGGGGCGGTTTGTCCCTCTGCAGCTGGGTCCTCGGACAGTAGGGAAGGTGGTTGCAGTTAATCCTCCTCCCCGGTGCTGCAACAAGGTCTATAGTTTGCCTGGGGTCAGCACCCCGTGGATTTTCTCTCCCCTTTTCCAAGGAAAAGGCTTGCTGGGATCTGGTCATAGTCATGAGCAGCTGATGCTCAGCATCCTCACCACGAGGCTACATTTATGATCTCAGTGCTGAAAATCCCCAAAGGGGGGAGGGGGGGGGGGGGGGGGGGGGGGGGGGAAATAAAGACAAACAAACCATCGTCTCAGAGCCAGGGAGAGGAGCAAAAGCTGGAAGGGGATTGTACAGAGAGAGGGGAATCGGTCAGGAGAGGAGGAGAGATGCTCAGGGGTGCAGGCAGCAGGAGCCGGCAGGGTTACGGTTGTTTAGGGTGGGACTGTGGGATGAGGGTGAGAGAGGAGGGAGGTGGCTCCTCCAGCTCTCCTCCGCTTCCCCGAACAGGCGGGGATACTCAAAGCGGAAAAAAAAAAAAAAAAAAAAAAAAAGTCCCCACAGCCCCCAGTGTGCAATGTGTTATTCCCCGGCCCGGGAGCTGCTGCGCGGCGGCGTTGTGCAACGCCGGGTTCTGGGAGCGACGCCGGAGCCGGGCCGAGAGGCAAAGCTGGAGCACGAGAGGGAGGGGAGAGCTGTGGCCGTCCGGGAAAACGTCACTTGGCGGCGGCAGGCTGGCTGGGAAGGGTCTCTGCTCCCCGCGGGGTCAAAGCCCACGCGATAAACATCCAGCGCCCTCCGTAATTAGAGCAGGCGCGGAAGGTGGCGGGGGGCCCAGCATCTGGAAAGCCCTCTCCGAAATCGGTGGGAGCATCGTGTCGCAGCTGCGTCCGAGGGACACGGCCTCCTCGGGGTGGGGGGAGAGCAGGAGCTGGCGGCCCTGCCGCTGCCGTCGCTGCTCCGATTTGCTCCGGTGCAGGTTCACGACCTGGGATTGAAATTGCTGCTGCTTGCCTGTCGCTGCAAGCTTCCCTCCTCTCTGGTTTCCGTGCAGACTCGCGTGCTGTAGGAGATGCGCGCCAGCCAGCCCGCCCACCGCCTCCCTTCACTCGCCCTCCAGCCATCTCACTGTTGGAGTTCCTCTGGGGCAATTTGGGGTTTCGCTCCCTGCCACCCCTTGTCTCATCCCTGTCCCTGCCGGCCGCGCTGCCCGTTAACACCTGCAGGGATTTGGCTGCCTTTAGAAGTGCTCCTTCTGCCGATGACCTTGTCAAGTCGCCTTGTCACGGCCGGGGTGTGGGTCAGGGCGGCGGGGCTGAAAGCTGCAGTTTTGGGGAAAGCAGCAGGGGGATGAGTTAGCCTTCACTCCCCGGCTTTAAAGGCTGCGTTCCGGGGTGTTTACTGGTGCAGAGCGATCCTGGGCGTCCTTAGCAGTTAACTGGGGTCGCAGCACCCCGCCGAGCTGCTCCCGGGATGGTTCCTGACCTCCATGCATGTGCCTTGTCCCTGTCCCTACACCGTACTACGCTGCTTTTGCTGCTTGACTGTCACCTAGCCGTGAATCGCCCCAAAGCTGCTGCTGTGAGGGGTGTTTCTGCAACCCTCTTGCCAAGCAGGGGACACCAGCTCGGCTTCTGACCGCCACCGCTGTCCCAGCAACATCCCAGATGCCACCCCACCGTGACGGCCGTGCCAGGCAGGCTGTCCCGGGGTGGGGAAACAACCCCGGGGCTTTTGGCACCCCTGGGGCTGAACGGGGTCCCCAGCTCCAGCTGGGACAGGCAGAAGCACGCACCATTCAAGCTGCAATGAAATGCTCAGACTCCACCCGGTGAACACAGTTCATGCTTTAGGTTTCTTAAACTTCAATTTTGCTTTATATTTGGCTGCTCTTCCCTCGCCTGACAGGCCGAGTCTGCCAGCGTGCTGCTCCATATCATCCTCCAGGGTTTCCAAGCCCCTGGTTTTGGCTGGGCTTGCAGGATCGTATCCTCTCCCAGCCGGCTGTACCCTCACGTGCTACCCTCAGTGTCGGCCGTGGCTTTCCCTGCTGCCCCTGTGGTGTCTCACAAAGAGGGCCAGCGTCTGTCCGGAAGCGAAGGGCAGATGTTATCTCAGCCTCCGCACAGACTTTGGGTCAGGGCAGCCCACAAATGCTCAGCCACGTCGCCGGTTGTGCCAGGAGTCTGTGACTGGACGTCTCCAGCTCAGCGTTTGGGACGAGATCGGAGCTGGGGTGTGAGTCGGGATCTCAAGGGGAAGGTGCAGCCATCAAGCCGCTTCCCGGTCCCGTCTTCCCCCTCAAGGCATGCAGGGACGTGGTGGGCAACATCCGTCCTTCTGCGGGTACAGATAAGGGTCCGATCCTTCTCCCCGTGACTTTATAAAGCGGGCAAGTCACTGCACTGACGTCCCTCGCCCCTGTTACCCCCAGTCCTACCGAAAAGCCGTTCCCCTGGCGCGGCCAGGCAAGGTGTGTTTCAGGTTTGCTGCTCCCCGTCGTCACCAAGAACGATTTCACCAAAACACCGCGGGTAGTTCTCAATCCGGTGCCGCGGGGCTGTGCCATGGCACTGCCCTTCACAGCACCAGACAAGCCGGAAGGCAATCGCAATTCCTCTTTATCTGATTTTTTTTTTTTTTTTAACAACACCCTTTGATTTCCCTGCGGGGCTTCCTTTGGGTTTCAGTCTCTCCAGCAAGTCCTCTCGGAGCCTCAAACGCCAAACCTGCTGGGGCCCGTCCCTGCCGACATCGCCGGTAGTTGGGCAGTGGGCTCACACCAGCCCACGTGCTCTGCCGAGCCTCGCTGCGGCCGGCAGCCCTGGGACGTGCAGGGAAACTGGGTGTTTCATTGCACAGACCCTGTACAGGGAAACCTGGCTGCCTCAGGGGGTCGTACCCCGGATCACAAACCTTGCCAGCCTTCGTTCCCCCACCAAAGCGACGCTTTGGGAAATGCTTTTGTTATTCAGCTCCTGTCGGAGTGAGAAACGCTGCTGCCTCGCTGTTTCAGAGCTGAGGGGTGGATTTCCTAAAGCTGGCTGGGAAATCCCAAGTTGATTTCCCTTGCAGCCTTGCCCCAGGAACGTCCTTTTCTTTCCAGTCTGCTCTGCAGATGCTTCCTCGTTTCGGATCGATTTATTGCGGGATCTGAGATCTGCTTGGTGCAGACACCTGCAATAATCCCTTCCGAAGCCCCAAGGCTCGGGACAGACCGTGCTGGCAGAGACTTTAAACACCGTGGCCACAGTCTGAGCGCTCGGCTCTTTGCCCCATCCTCATTCCCAGCCCCACGTGGCTCTTTCCCCACAGATGCTGCCTCATCTATGACCAGTTTCCCTTCTTGCCTGCAGCGCCCAGGTGGATTTGATGCTTTTGTAATAAGAACTAGGACGGGAGACAGCAAAATCCTAATTTTTCTCCCCAAGCAGTCGTGCTGTCCCCCACAGAGCTGGCTGTAACGCGCCGATCGTGGGAGCGACCTTTCAGCCTGAGCTGGTTGTTCCCGTGCCTCCGCGATCTTCGAGTCCACTCTGAGATTGTGCAAGTTTGAAAATGTATTGGAAAAATGCCGTTGGCTAAGGGTGGCAGAGGGGAGCGAGGACTGCAAACAGTTCCTTGCCTCAAGCCCTGCGACCGTGGCTCCCGCTGCCCTTCGCCAACCTCTCATCCCAAATTCCACCTCAAATTACCCAGCATCAAATCTCTCTGCAACCCAAGGCGGGCAGAAAGCCGCCCCGCCATCAGATAACGTGCTTGGGGTTTTCTTTAATGACTGGTTAAAAGGCTAAAAACATCTTGAGGAATGGGCTTTGCTGGTTTTAGGACCGGCCAGTGAATGTGTATGAACAAGGACTTTTGTGAATGTGTGACTCCGTTACGAGGACGCGGGGTTGCTACCCCAAGAGATTGTTGCGACATCCTGTTGCTTTCCTTCTCTTTCAACCCTGTGAGGTTATTCAGGTCTTTAAGCTCTTTCTATAAAGGTAAGATTTGAGCCCAAATTGCCTGCGGCTGCTCTCCTTCCCTAAATAAATGGGAGAAGCCTTGCGTATCGCCTTTGAGTCCAGCCCTTGGCCGCTGCCAAAGGCTGTCACCCCTAATACAAGCCGCAAATACCCAACCCTGGGAGCGAGGGTATGTTTGTGTGTCCCTTTAGCTTTAAAAATACTCACGATGCTGCAGAAGCGCTGCCAGATACTCCAACTACCGCTGCTGCAGCGTGGGAGCCGGACGCGGCGGCTGAGCGGTGCCGCGCGGGGCTCCCTCTGTTGTCGGGCGCTGCTGACGGCGGCGCTGGAGCCAGGCGAGCCCAGTGGCCTGAGTCTTGCAGGACCAAGATTTCTTTCGCCCGAGAGCACAGAGCAAACAGCAAGGTTGCGGCAGGGAGCAGACGTGTGGTAGTGCCGACCTTATGGCACCTGGTCCTTGCCTAAAAGCACGCCGGTGGGCTACGAGCTGTGCCGGTCTCGTGGCGGGGAAGCTGTGACCTGCCAGTCGAGGACAGGGTTGATGCGGGTTTAACAACTGATTAACGAGGTGATGGGGGGATGCAGGCTGCAGTGGCCCCGGGGTTGATTCAGTCCCTGTTTCTGACGCTTTCCCCATCCCTGCAGTCATTCTGACGGACGAGGAGGTTCAGCGGAAGCGCGAGATGATACTGAAGCGCAAGGAGGAGGAAGCGCTCAAGGAGAGCCTGAAGCCCAAACTCTCAGAGGAGCAGCAGAAAGTCATCGATGTCCTCCTTGAGGCCCATCGCAAAACCTACGACCCCACGTACGCCGACTTCACCAAGTTTCGGGTACGTCTGGGGCACGCCGGCCCCGGTTCCCACACACGGGACCAAGCAGTTCCTGCCCAGATCCGCAAACCCCCTTTTCATCCCACGACTTCTCCTTAGGGAGGGCTTAAAAATCCCTGTGAAAAAAAAAAAACAACCTTGACGCTGTTGGCAGCAGGCAAAGGGCTGCCACCAACTTGCTCTCCCAGCCCCGTTCCTCATGTCCTGCTCTCTATTCCAGCCTCCTGTGAGAAGCAACCCGAGCAACAGAGGGGCAGCAAAATCTTCCTCCATCCTCACCCAGGAGTTGTCTTTGGAGGACTCCACCGACCTCTTCGGCTCCGATGCCTTCAGCACGTTTCCAGGTACCACGCTTGCCTTGCCAGAGGAGACAGGGGTAGAAGTGCAGCAGCTTTACCTAAATCTGGCCATTCAGACCCTCGTTTCACCTCTTCTGGGGAGCTTACCTAACTGTAAGACCCTTCTGGGGGTGTTGCAAAGGCTTTTTGTGAGCAAAAAACCATGAAGTGCTTGGCTGGATCGTGGCCCTGCAGACCTCTGTGTGTCTGAGCCCTCCAGGAAGGCCGAGGGGAGCGCGAACGTGCGCTGCATCGTCGCTGCTCTGGCTGCCGTTAGGCTTGATCACAGCACAGGAGGGGAGTTAAAGGCCCGCCCCCCCGTGCAAAAATCTTGATGCTGTTGGCAGCCAGCAAACGACCGCTCTCCCAGCCCCATTCCTCACGTCCTGCTGTCTACAGGCAGTGCAAAGCCCTCCTGGTGGGATGGATGCCATTCAGCCGCGGGCAGGCAGCCTTCCCCTCACCCCTAATGTCTTGCCTGCAACTGAGGCACCCTCTGACCATCTCCCTCTCTCCAGAGTCTGTGGAGCCCCAGATGTTTTCGAACCTGGTGCTCTCTGAGGAGAATGACGAGACCTCCTCCATGAACATCGAATTCTCCCACCTCTCCATGCTCCCGCACTTGGCCGACCTGGTCAGCTACAGCATACAGAAGGTGATCGGCTTTGCCAAAATGATCCCAGGATTCAGGTGAGACGTTTGCTCCCGGATCTGATGTCCATGGCGGTTTTCCACTCTCGGGAATCCCGTCCTGCCCTTCACAGCCGGATCATTTTTTCTCTGTTTCATCTTCACAGCTGTCCCTCAGGCTCTGTTCCCTTCCCAGGTCTGTTCTGACTTTCACGTTTTCTGTCTCTCCTCCTTCCTGGGGTTACTCCTCTTCTATCTTTACCCTGATTCACCTGTCAGCAAAACGCTTGAGCTCCTAAGATGCTCGAGGCTGTGTGAGTCCCTATCCTGATCTGTGAAGGACCTCGGGTCCTGTTTAACTCCGGGCTGGCGCCCGCGATGCTGGCTGGTGCCACTCAATAAAGGTAGCTGCAGAAATCCCTGCTGCTTAATCACATAAAAACCCGGGGTGAGGCAGAAACTGGGGTGCCCCCAGCAAAGGGACTGGGTTACCGATAGAGAACCTGGCAGGTTTCTGTTCCTTTGCTCACTGGACAGATCTCTCATCACCCTCTTCCCCCTGCCCAGGGACCTGTCAGCAGAGGACCAGATTGTGCTGCTGAAATCCAGCGCCATTGAGGTGATCATGCTGCGCTCGAACCAGTCCTTCACCCTCGAGGACATGACGTGGACCTGCGGCAGCAACGAGTTCAAGTACAAGATCAGTGATGTCACTCAAGGTAAAGGCTGCCGGACACTCTCCGGCTTGCTGCAGGCTACGAAATGTCCTCCCGGCCTTAAACTCAGATGCAAAAATCCCGCTGCAAGCAGGGACGCGTCGGCAGGCTGCACGGCTGCGGTGCAGGGCAGCACCGGCAGCTTCGGTGGGCTGAGACCCCGGCAGCGGCCCCGCTCTCACCTCCCGAGCCCTCCACCCTGCAGCCAGAGCAGATGGCTGGAAGGAGCCGTTAACTCCTGAAGAAAAGCAAAGCCAGAGAGCGTGGTCGTAGCTCAGAGCCGTCTCCGACTCCTCTGCCTTGCCACAGGGGATGAGTTCAGGTTGCTCCGAGCTGCCGCGAGGGCCGGAAAGCCTTCTGCTAGGAAAGGGGGTGAATCCTGCCCTAAACCTCCCCCCGTCTGAGGATTTGGGGACCAGCACGGAGAACAGGGTGTGCAGATGATAGATACGGACCTTAAATTTGTCCTTGCCCTTGGAGGAGCCTTAGAGCAACCTGAGGATGCCGAGCCCCTCCGTGCAAGGGCAGAGATCCCCCAGTGAGATCCCAGGGGAGCAGGCGGCGTGTTGGGACCAGGCGCGGGGCAGCTGGCACCCACCGAAGGCAGGAAAGTGATCTGCTGGCAGGGAGGGCTCTGGGCACACGAGGTGGGGTTTGTGGTGCTTGGGCAGGACACGGTGCGGTGTGGAAGTGGTGATAAGGAGGCAAAATATCTGTAGGTTAATTGTCTTTACGGATTTCAAAAGCAAAATGTGCTCCATAATCTCCTGCTTTAGAGAAACTACCGAGGAGAAAAGTGTGATTAAAAACCAATGTGCTTTAAGCTGTATCAGAAGTCCACTTCCACTCGTCCCGGCTCTCTGCTGTGGGAGCTGCCGAGCCCCACGCTCGTCCCTCAGCCGTGGGGGATCTTTTTCCAGAGCAGACTCTGCTAAAGGTCCTTTCTCTTTCCAGCTGGCCACAGCATGGACCTGCTCGAGCCACTCGTGAAATTCCAGGTTGGCTTGAAGAAGCTGAACCTTCACGAAGAAGAGCACGTGCTCCTCATGGCCATCTGCATCCTGTCCCCAGGTAGGAAGGGGCCACAAACCTGCCAGGTTTTGGCTGGGTCCCCCGAAATGTCACAGCTCCTTGCCTCTCCGTGGAGGCCAGCTGGGGAAAAGGGAATCACCCCGCATCCGTGATGTTTCCTAGATCGCCCAGGCGTGCAGGACACCTCGCTGGTGGAATCCCTCCAGGATCGCCTCTCGGAGATCCTCCAAGCTTACATCCGCTGCAGGCACCCTCCTCCCGGCAGCCGCCTGCTCTACGCCAAGATGATCCAGAAGCTGGCCGACCTACGGAGCCTGAACGAGGAGCACTCCAAGCAGTACCGCTGCCTCTCCTTCCAGCCCGAGCACAGCATGCAGCTCACGCCGCTGGTGCTCGAGGTCTTCGGCAACGAGATATCCTGACTCCGGCCGTGGGGTTGAGCCCCCACCAGTAAAGGGATAAGTCAGCCCGGCTCCCCCCAGGCAGCGAGCGGAGAGCCGTGACCCTGGGCAGGAGTTTTGTACATACAGTTTGGTTTCACACTACTGGAAGTCTCACTTTTTCTCCTCATCCGCCCCGGCTGAAGTTTGCTCCTGACAGACCCAGATTCGCGCGGTTTCGCCCGACTCCGTGAGCAGCTTTTCCGCTTCCCTGCCATCTGCGGGAGCTGACTTATCCCTTTATGGATATTTGGAGGCTGGGCTGCCTCCAATCCACTTCTTTCCTGACCCAAAAAAAGTCAGGCTGCTTGGAAGGAGAAGCGCTGGGGTGTTCGGGGGGGGGGGGAGATGGACTCACGGCGTTGCTGAGCCGTCGGCGCGATCCTCCCCTCCTAAAATCTGCGGCGCTCGCCCCCCCATTTCAAAAAGGGAGACACGGATTAAGTCACGCACCCCAAAACCCTGCCAGGGACTGCCGTGGGCTGTGTCATCCCCCCACCCAGGACCAGCTCAAACCACTCCCGGGAGACTGGGATGAGGCCAGAAGGGGAATTTGTCCTCAGCAATCCAAGGAAGCAGCCGGGGGAGCTGACATTTGCGTTCCCCACACTCCGGGCTGGCTTGGGAGGCAGCAGGGTGATTTGGGGGTGCCACCACGCTCCCTGAGCTCGACCCCTTCGCTCTCGGCAGCCCCCCGCGACCCTTTGGGGTGTCCTGTGCCGTGCTGGAAGCGGGTGCCGGGGAGGGTCGGGGGGCTCCTGAGCCCCCCCCGCGCCGTGCAGGGTGTCTGGGACCCCGCTCGCCACCGGGTGCTGCTCCTTCTAAATAAAGTCTTGCTTGAGAACGGCGCCGGAGCTGTCGGGGGGGTTGATTTGTGTGTGCGTGGGGGGGGTGTTGTGTGTCTGTCTGTCTGTCTGTTAGTCCCTGCGTGGGCTATGCAGGACCCTGTGTGTCTGTCCTTGGGGGGGTGTGGGGAATGGCTGAGGTGTCCGCGTGGGCCGTCCCGTCCCTGCACGTGTCTGTGTCCCGGTACAGCCCCGCGTCCGTCCGTCTGTCCGTCCCCACGCCGCTGGGCGCCCCGGGAGGGGGCGGGTCCTCCCCAAGGCCCCGCCTTAGTCACGCCCCCACAGCGCTGCACGCACTGCGCGCGCGCAGTAGGTGTCGGGCGGGGCAAGCCGGCGCATGCGTAGTCACGCCAAGGCGTGTGCCGGGTGGGGCGGGGGTGTCGCATGCGCATAGAGGAGGGGCGGGGACCGGGGTGGGGTGGCGCATGCGCAGTGCGGGAGGGCGCGGACAGGGCGGAGATGGCAGGAGGGCGAGGTTGGCTCATGCGCAAAGCCGGCGGGGCGCGGGCGGGGCCGACGCATGCGCAGAGCGGCGAGGAGGGACGGGGGGAGGGCTGGCGCATGCGCAGATTGAAAACGAGCCGATGCGCGGGAGGCTGCCGTCGTATGCGCTGTGCGGGGGGTGCGGCTCATGCGCAGTTCCGGCGAGGCGCATGCGCAGTTGCGGCGCGGCGGGGCCGCGCATGCGTAGCAGGATGCGGAGCGCCGCCCGCGTCATGGCCGCCTCCGTAGGCACCGGGGGCCTGGGCCGGGCCGGGCCCGCCCCGCGCATCGGCACCCACGACGGCACCTTCCACTGCGACGAGGTGTTGGCCTGTTACCTGCTGCGCCTCCTGCCCCGCTACCGGGTATGGCACCGAGCGGCGGGGCCGGGGCTCGGGCCCCCTCCCAGCGGCGGGACGGGGACACCCTGAGCACCCCGCGCCGCCAGGTCCCGCGTCCTTCCTCGGGACGGGTTTAGCTGCCCAGTCCCCCGGCGGGGTTCCCCGGTACCTGGGGTCAGCGCTCGAGGTTCCCGGTCACCCCCGGGGGCCACCCTTCGGGTCGCCGGTCCCACTCGGGGGTCCCAGGTTTCATCCAGGGGCCGCACGTAGGTTCCCCAGTCCCTCCTCGGGGTCTCCGGTCACACCTGGGACCTCCCTTTGGGTCCCCGATCCCTCTTGGGGTCTCTGGCCGCACCCAGGGGCCACCCTTTGGGCCCCCGGTCCTCCCTCAAGGTCCCCAGTCCCACCTGGGGGCCACCCTTAAGTTCTCAGTCCCTCCTCGGGGTCTCCGGTCACACCTGGGACCTCCCTTTGGGTCCCTGATCCCTCTTGGAGGTCTCTGGCCGCACCCAGGGGCCACCCTTTGGGTCCCCAGTCCCTCTTGGAGGTCTCTGGCCCCACCCAGGGGCCACCCTTTGGGTCCCCGATCCCTCTTGGAGGTCTCTGGCCCCACCCAGGGGCCACCCTTTGGCCCCCCGGTCCTCCCTCGAGGTCCCCAGTCCCACCTGAGGGCCACCCTTAAGTTCTCAGTCCCTCCTCAGAGTCTCCAGTCACTCCTGGGACCACCCTTTGGGTCCCCAGTCCCACTTGGGGGTCACCCTTAAGTTCTCAGTCCCTCCTTGGGGTCCCAAGTCCCACCTGGGGGTCACCCTTTGGGTCCCCAGTCCCTCTTGGGGGTCTCTGGCCCCACCCAGGGGTCACCCTTTGGGCCCCCAGTCTTCCCTCAAGGTCCCTAGTCCCACCTGGGGGGGGGGGGTCACCCTTAAGGTCTCCATCCCTCCTCGGGGTCCCTGCTCTCACCAGGGGCAGCTCTGGGGGATCCCCAGTCACTCCTGGGGTTGGGGGGTCCCCAACCTCACTCCGCCCCCCCCGGCAGGATGCAGAGCTGGTGCGCACCCGGGACCCCCAGCGCCTGGCCCAATGCGACGTGGTGGTGGACGTAGGGGGCGAGTACGACCCCGAGCGACACCGCTACGACCATCACCAGAGGTGAGACCGCCCCCCTGGCGCCACAAACCGGGGTCCCCTGGATTCCGGGGGTCCCTCGGGGCTGACTCCGTGGCCCCACAGGTCCTTCACACAATCCATGAGGAGCCTCCGGCCCGAGAAGCCCTGGACCACGAAGCTCAGCAGCGCCGGGTTGGTTTACTGCCACTTTGGCTCCCAAATCCTCGCGGGGCTCCTGGAGCAGCCGGAGGACAGCCCTGTCGTGACAGCGCTCTACGATAAGGTACTGGGGGGAACTGGGAGGGTCTGGGTGGGGGCTCTAACCCCGCCAGTGCCGCACAGTTCTCCCAGGGCTTCTCCTTGGCGGCGTCACCCCGTAAAAACGCTCTCAGAGAGGGACCCCGTAGAATTGGGGACCGGTTCGTTCAAGCTCCTGGTGCGCAGCTGGGCTGACCCCCCTTGTCCCCCGCTCCGTCGGCAGCTGTACGAGAACTTCGTGGAGGAGATCGATGCCATCGACAACGGCATCGCGCAGGCGGAGGGGGAGCCCCGCTACGCCCTCACCACCACCCTCAGCGCCCGCGTGGGTCACCTGAACCCCCGCTGGAACGACCCCGACCAGGACACCGAGGTGAGGGTGGGGAACGTGGCGTGGGGCGCAGTGGGGGCTGGGGGGGGGGGGTCACCCCTGCTTCAGCCTCCCCCGTGTCCCCACAGCGGGGGTTCAAGCGGGCGCTGGAGCTGGTCGGGAGCGAGTTCATGGAGCGACTCGACTACTACCGGCACGCCTGGCTGCCCGCGCGGGCGCTGGTGGAGGAGGCTGTCCGGCGGCGCTTTGAGGTACCCGCTGGGCCACTTTGGGGGGGAGAGGAGAGCGGGGGGGAGGGTCTGAAAGTTTGGAGGGGGAGCATTGGGGTGAGGGGCGGCCAGCTCCCCTCGGTATAAACCGCCCTGCGCGGTCCAGGGAACCCCTTGCAGCCCATAACCCTGTGCACCCCCTCCTATACCCCGACACACAGCCATGTGTGCTCCTATAGCCTTACAGATGGCTCTGCACCCCCTCCTGTGCCCCTATAGCCTTACAGATGGCTCTGCACCCCCTCCTGTGCCCCTATAGCCTTATACATGGCCATGCACCCCCCCCTTCTCCCCATACCCCTACACACGACCGTGCACCCCCTCCTGTGCCCCTATAGCCTTATACATGGCCATGCACCCCCCCCTTCTCCCCATACCCCTACACACGACTGTGCACCCCCTCCTGTGCCCCTATAGCCTTATACATGGCCATGCACCCCCCCCTTCTCCCCATACCCCTACACACGACTGTGCACCCCCTCCTGTGCCCCTATAGCCTTATACATGGCCATGCACCCCCCCCTTCTCCCCATACCCCTACACACGACCGTGCACCCCCTCCTGTGCCCCTATAGCCTTATACATGGCCGTGCACCCCCCCCTTCTCCCCATACCCCTACACACGACCGTGCACCCCCTCCTGTACCCCTATAGCCTTACAGATGGCTCTGCACCCCCCCCTTCTCCCCATACCCCTACACACGACCGTGCACCCCCTCCTGTGCCCCTATAGCCTTATACATGGCCATGCACCCCCCCCTTCTCCCCATACCCCTACACACGACTGTGCACCCCCTCCTGTGCCCCTATAGCCTTATACATGGCCATGCACCCCCCCCTTCTCCCCATACCCCTACACACGACTGTGCACCCCCTCCTGTGCCCCTATAGCCTTATACATGGCCATGCACCCCCCCCTTCTCCCCATACCCCTACACACGACTGTGCACCCCCTCCTGTGCCCCTATAGCCTTACAGATGGCTCTGTACCCCCCCTTCTCCCCATACCCCTACACACGACCGTGCACCCCCTCCTGTGCCCCTATAGCCTTATACATGGCCATGCACCCCCCCCTTCTCCCCATACCCCTACACACGACTGTGCACCCCCTCCTGTGCCCCTATAGCCTTATACATGGCCATGCACCCCCCCCTTCTCCCCATACCCCTACACACGACCGTGCTCCCCCTCCTGTGCCCTATATACCCAGGGATAGCTGCACACACCCAGAGCCCCACGCATGACCCTATAGCCCCGCCCGCCACCCCCCCGCACCCCGAGATCCTCATCTACCCCCCATCACCCTGTGCCCTGCACCCCCAGAGCTCCCCGTGCAGGCTCAGCGGAGCGCCCAGCACCCAATGCCCGTGGATCGGGGTGGGGAAACTGAGGCAGGGGAGGGCTGGGGGGGGGGCAGGCCCCCCCCCGCCCTGTGCCCAGCGTGTCCACGTGTCCCCAGGTGGACGCGAGCGGGGCGGTGCTGGAGTTCCCGCGGGGCGGCTGTCCCTGGAAGGAGCACGTCCTCAGCCTGGAGCAGGAGCTGGCGCTGCCCCAGCCCCTCCAGCTCGTGCTTTTCCCCGACCGCAGCGGGCAGTGGCGGGTGCAGAGCGTCCCGGCGGGGCCACACACCTTCCAGAGCCGGTAAGACCCATCTGCCCCCCACCCAGCAGTGTGTGTGTGTCCGTGTCCCCCGCCTCCTCCAGGGGCAGGGGTTCACCCAACGTCCCACCCCCTCCCCAATCCTGCAGCCTCCCTCTCCCCGAGCCCTGGCGAGGTGTCCGGGATGAGGCGCTGTCCCAGCTCGCTGGCATCCCCGGCTGCGTCTTCGTACACGCCAGCGGCTTCATCGGAGGCAACCGGACGCGGGAGGGGGCGTTGGAGATGGCCCGGCGGACGCTGGCGCAGCGGCACGAGGTGGGGGTGCAGAGCGGATGAGCCCCTCCCAGCACGGGTCACCCCCCCCCAAAAAAAAAAAAAAAGAAGCCCTTGCCCAGCGTGGGAGGTTCCAGAGACTGCGGCTGGGGGTGGCTGAGACCGGCCCCGCTCGACACATGTCACGGGAGCACAGTGGGATGTGATAATGGAGCTGGCTGGGGGCAGGGGGGGGGCCCAGGATCCCCCGGGGGGGATCCCTGCTCCCAGTCCCAGTGCTGGACTGGGGCGAGCCCAGTCACAGCCCAAACCCAGAGACTCGTGGATCCGTTTCTCTGAAGACTGTCCCCATTTTTGTTATCTGTCTGCTGCCGCTGGGTTCCCAACACCAGTAAAAACCAGCGTGTTCCCAGTGCGTGCGCTGCTGAGGCAACAGGAGCTGCGGGGGGGTGGAGGGGGGGTCAGGGTGTCCTTGGGGCGCAGGGACAGGGGGGTGCAAGGGGCTGGGAATTGGGGTGCAGCTGGGGGGCGCAGGCATCACCACCCAACGCTGGGAGACTGGGGGAGGAACACCCCCCCCGCCCCACCCCCCGCCACGAAACTGCACATCTGGGAGTACAAAGAGGGGGGGGGACACACCACACACACACACCCTCCCCCCCCCGAGCCCCCACTCGAATCCAGTCTGTTCCAGTGACACGATGCCGGCAGCCTGGCTGCTCCTGGTAGCGCTGGGGCTGCCCGGCTGCCCCTGGGGCTGCCGGTGCCCAGGGGGGGCCCCCCCAGTGCTGCCCCCCCCCAGCAGCCGCAACGAGACGGGGGCGGGGGGCGGGCGGGCGCGGGCCCCCGACCTGGGGGTGCTGGTGGCCGTGGGCGGGTGGCTCGGCGCCGTCCTCGCCTACGTGGGCCGGTACGTCCGGAGGAGCCGAGCCCAGAGCCGAGCCCAGAGCCGGCTGCACCTCGAGTACCTGCGGGCGCTGCCCCGCCACCCGCCCAGCCCCGAGGAGGAGGAGGAGGAGGAAGAAGAGCCGCTCAGCACCGTCCTCTGAGGCTCAGCACCCTCCCAGCCCCGAGGAGGAGGAGGAGGAGGAGGAGGAAGAGCTGCTCAGCACCGTCCTCTGAGGCTCAGCACCCTCCCAGCCCCGAGGAGGAGGAGGAAGAGCTGCTCAGCACCATCCCAGCCCCAAGGAAGAAGAGGAGGGTGAGAAAGAGCCGCTCAGCACCATCCCAGCCCCGAGGAAGAGGAGGAGGAGGGTGAGGAAGAGAAGAGCCGCTCAGCACTGTCCTCTGAGGCTCAGCACCGTCCCAGCCCGAAGGAGGAGGAGGAGGGTGAGGAAGAGCCGCTCAGCACCATCCTCTGAGGCTCAGCACCCTCCCAGCCCCGAGGAGGAGGAGGGTGAGGAAGAGCTGCTCAGCACCATCCCAGCCCCAAGGAAGAGGAGGAGGGTGAGGAAGAGCTGCTCAGCACCATCCTCGGAGGCTCAGCACCCTCCCAGCCCCAAGGAAGAGGAGGAGGAGGGTGAGGAAGAGAAGAGCCGCTCAGCACTGTCCTCTGAGGCTCAGCACTGTCCCAGCCCTGAGGAGGAGGAGGAGGAAGGTGAGGAAGAGCCACTCAGCACCATCCCAGCCTGGAGGAAGGTGAGGAAGAGCCGCTCAGCACCGTCCCAGCCCCGAGGAAGAGGAGGAGGGTGAGGAAGAGCCGCTCAGCACCATCCCCTGAGGCGCCGCCGGCCCCAGCCATCACCAGCAGCGAACCGGAGAGCCCCGAGGGGGTGAAGCCCCCCCAGACCTGCCCCGGGAGTGGGTTCGTACCCTGTTTTTACCCCGTATCCTCAGGCTCAGCTCCGCTCCCTGCTGCCCTCCCTGCCCTGCTTGGGGGGGGGGGTTGGGGGGGTCCTGGGGGTGGCTGAAGAGCTGGGGGTATAGGGGGGAGCGGGGAGCCCCTGCTCTCCCCATCATCTCCATACCCCAGGCTTTAGCAGAGCTATGACAGTGTAATCCTGGGGATTAACCACATGTAATCCCGGGGTTTAACCACGCTGCCCCCCCCCCTTAATCCCCACTCTGGGCCGGGGGGTGGCCCAGTTGCTCCCCCCCCCCCCCCCCCCCCCCAGCTTTGGCGCAGGTTGGGCTCACGTGGGCCGGCACGAGCAGCAGTCACAGCCCCAAAGGGCCCAGGGTTTGGTTTTTAGGGACCCCCAAAGTTTTTAGTTCCCCTTCGGGCGATTCTCCCCCCTCCTCGAGGCAAAGCCCAGGACCCCTCAGCCCCCTCTGCCCTCACCTTTCCTGGGGGGCAGCAGCTCTTTAACCCCCAACCCCACCCTGAGCCGCCCACGCTGCTGCCTTCATTAAAACGGATTTAAGGCACGGGGGAGGGATGTTCTCCTGCAGGTTCATCCCTGGCTCTTTTTGACATCAAAAAGCAGCACCAGAGCCCCAGGAGCGCCCCCAGACCCACAAGACTTGGGAGGACTCACCCCACACAAAAATTTCAGCCCCCCCCCCCCCCCCCCCAAAGAGCAAGGCCTGGAGAAGGCGAGGGGAGAGAGCCGGCTTTAATCTGTAACCGCACCAGCCCCGCGAGCTGGGAGCCCCCCCCGGGGGGGTACTAAAGGCACCTGAGGCTGCGCCGTGGGTCCGAGGAGGAGGATGGAGGGTGTGGGGGGGAACGTCCCAGCACCGGCTTTTCGGGAAGAGGCCGCTTGGGTGTTGTCACAGCTCTGAGAAGAGAGGCTGTTCCCGCACGCTGGCGCTGGCCATGACGGTGAGCGGGCTGCGGCCGGGGCTGGCGCAGGGCACGTGGGCGCTCACGAAGAAGAAGGGGACGTGGCTGATCTTCCCCGTGGACCAGCACTGGTGGGGGAAGAGGACGGGGGGAGGAAGAGGAGTACAGGACGTGGCAGGGGATGAGGGTCCAAGCAATCGCCCTCTGATCCCAGCACAGACACCTTCCCCCCACCACCACCTCTCCCGGGGGGGACAGCGGGAGGAGGTTTTTCCACCCTCTGGCTTGAGCCACGGGGAGCCCCGAGAAGCGCTGTCGAAACCGGGGGCTGCCAACTCACCACGGTCAGGAGGGCACCTTTCGTGAAGCAGGGGTGGAAGGCGATGAGCTGGGGCTGCGCGCCGTGCTCGCCTCGCAGGAAACCGCTGGAGGAAGAAGGCAAAGCCGCGGTTACGGCACGGACACCCTCGGTCGCACCGGGAAAACGCGGCGCTTTCGGGGCAGCCTGGGGTTAAGCAGAGAGGTTTGGGCCCCGCCGGGAAGCATCAGGCAAGGGAAACCTGAAGCAAAAAGGGTTTTTTTTTGAGGCGGGTAACGGACGATATGGCCAAAACGCAACCGATTGGGGGGTTAAAGGGTGCTAAAGCCTGAAGCAGGAGCACAGGACGGCAGCGTTCCTCGGCTCCCGAGGTGGGTTTTTGCTCTTCCCACCAGGCCCCGGGGGGATTGCTGGTGTTCACACCCCCCCCCCAACCCACCCGCCGCTACGCACCACGGCAGGAGCTCAAACACGGGGCTGTTGCGGGTGCGGAACACAGCGATGACCGCCCGGCTGCCGGGAGCGTCGGCGTTCCCTGCGGGAGGGAGAGGAGGAGCAGTGAGGCTTCCCCTCGTCCGAAGGACGGCACAGACGGGCCCCTCGAGGCCGGACCAGGGACGCGGAGGTCAGGTTTTTGTGGGGAGCAGCTGGACGCCGCAGAGACCGGGGCAGGGAGCCACCGAGGCGGGGGGGAAAAGCCGGCTGCGGACTGCGTAGTGGGATCCCAGGGTGGGGCTCTCAAAAGACCCTTCAGGGATTTAAAGGCAGCTCTGAGGTCTCGGGTAGCTAGGTTGGGGCAAAAAGGGTCTGGGCAAGAGCTGAGGCAGCTGCTTCGGCAGCACCCCAGCCCCTCAGGCATGACGTGGGGGCCCCGTCTCTCCAGCGTGACGGTTTTTCTCCGTCCCATCGCAGTTTCAGCACCAAGAGCCTCACAGGACCCGTGTGGAGGGCGGGGGGGGGTGCCAGCTCCAGGAGTCCCGGTACCCTCGGGCTTCCCCCCCCCCCCCAGCTTTAAGCACGGCGAGAAAACCCCGAGCTCCCGCATGGGCCCATCAGCTCTCGTCTGTCACCCTGGGCAGAGAGGGAGCCCGAGGCAGCAGCATCCCCCCAGCACCGTGTCTCGGTGCTCCCTCAAAGCTCCGCTTTGTCTCGGAGCGCAGCACGTCCAGGAGAGCCTGAATGGCTCGATTATCCCAGGGGCTGCTCCTAAAAAAACGGAGCCAGGAGGCCCCAGTGAGGCTCCAGGTGTAACGCGGGCGCTGTGGGAACACCGAGCCCTTGCTGGGTGTGGGGGGGGGGGGGGTTGGGAGGGGCGATTCATCCCACTGGAGGTGGGGAGGGAACTCGGGATTCATCCCTTTGCGAAGGATGCGGAGGCACGGTGAGGGAGGATGGAGGGTGGGCGCTGCCTTCCCAACCTCACCCCCGCGGGGTTTTTGAGCCCCTCCTGCCAGCGGGGAGGGGGGATTTGGGGACAAAGCCCAGCGCCGGGACGGGCAGCGCTTACCTCTGATGATCACTGCCAGCCGCTGGCCGGTGGGGTCCCACACCATGGAATGGACTTCTCCTCCGATCCTGAAACCGGCACGAGCAGCAGTGAAATGCTGAAATTCCACACACACACCCCCCCCCACCTCCTTCCAGTGCCGGGGGGGCACAGACCCCCCTCGCCAGCTCCCAGGTGCTGCAGCCAGACCCACCTCTCCTCCCCGTAGAGCGTCTCGAAGGTGGTCTCGGACAGATCTGCTACGATTGAAGCTGTTTTTGAGCCTCCAACTTGCCCTTGTGTCTCCCCTGAAGTAAAGAGCCTGGTCACTTCTCGTCTCGCGCTCGAATTACTACCTGCGTCATCTCGCTCCCTAAATCACCCTTTTATTTCCCCGAGTGACAGGTGATTTATGTCCGTTTCTTCAAGCAGCTGCGGAGCAACGCGCTGCTACCCCAGCAGCATCGGCCTGTGTCTGGGCTGGGCGAGAGGGGAGGTTTCCCCTCGACAAGCATCAGGACCAGCCACCTCCGTGGAAAAAAGCCACGCGAGCTGGGCAGTTAACCCGCTGGACGAGTTCCCCCGCGAACCATTTGTGACTGTGAGATCGTAACTGGGAGCAAGAAGCAACGCACGGGGGGGAAAAAAAAAAAAAAAATCCAACAGCAGCGAGATTCTGTGCTTTGAGAGAACCCCCCCACCCCTGAGACCCCCTTCCCCCTGCGTGTCCTGGCTTTGCCTCCATCCTTTCATGGCCAGCAGGCCGGGAAACGCCGCTGATAAACAAAAAGCCCATCTGGCCAAGCCCAGCCGCAGCCAAAAGCAAGAGGATCGCTCGGGGCCCAGCTGCCAGCTCTCAGAAAGCTTCGCCCGGACTCACCCCGGTACTCGGAGAAGGACAAGGAGTAGATGACGGACTCGCCCAGCACCGTGAAGAGCAGCCGGCTGCCGTCAGGGCTCCAGCACCCCGTCTGCGGGACACGGAGCCACGTTAACACCCGCTCCCCGGCCCGGCGGGGGTGGCGGCTTCCAGAGGAGCCAGCTGGAAACGGGGGGGGGGAGTTTTAGGAAAAACACCCTCCAGGCCCCCCCCCGAGGGCTTTAGAGACGCCGTCTGCCCCGCCCGGGTGGGAAATGCCCCCCCCCGGTCCTACCTGGCAGCGTCCCTTGATAGTGGGCCAGCGCTCGCACGTCCACATCTGAGCCTCCCACACTCTGCAAGAGACACAGACGAAAGTGAGCGAGACAGACTCCCCAAATTCTGCTGCTCCGAGGGGAGCCCGAGACATCAGACCCGATGATCCGCCCCGTTTTTTTTTTTTTTTTTTCCACAGTAGGAAGGGGAGCGGCGAGCACGCCAGGAATCCGGGTCCGCTCGGGTTCGGAGCAAACGGAAGCGACCGTGAAGGGCCGAAAGAAAACGTCTCGCCGGCCGGGAGCTCACCTGAACACCGCGGAGGGAGTGGCTGCCAGGACCTTGCTGCCGTCGGGTGACCAAGCCAAGTAAGTGACACCGCCACCCCCAAACCACTGCAGCTGGACGCAGTTTTCGGTGGACACGTCCCACACCTGGAGGAGGGGGACAACGAGGAGGAGAACGACACCAGGACCCGCGTGCTGACCGGGTAGCGCAGCTTTCGGGGAGTTTTTCTGTGGCTTGGGGAGTACAGGCTGATGCTTTCAGGTCTGGTTCAAATTCAGGGCCTGCCCGTCACCCAGCAGCCCCCCCCCAGGCCGACAAAGGCAGTTCCCAGAGTCGCCAGTGAAATAAAACTTCCTTTTCGCTGCGGAATGGGACCGTTTTCTCTGACAAATTCCCCGTCCCTAACAACTTTTTGCAGGATCCTGCTGAGGGGGTGGGTAACGCACAGTCCAGGGTTGGTATTTGAAGGAATTTTCCAAGCCCTGATCTAGTTTAATGCTGTTCCCCTCCACGTGCAACAACAGGGCGCGCTCTGCCTCTCGCCGTCGGCCACAAACTGGGGCAGCCGATGGGGAAATACCCACCCACCCCCTGAGGAAATGCCGCCTGTCCCCAGCAGTTCTGCAGCCAAACTGTCCCTCGGTGACCCCGCGGTGTGTTCCCGGTGCCGGTATCCCCAAACCAGCCCCCCCCCCACACACACACCCCCCGCCAGGCCCTACAACCTCTTACTCACCAGCATGGCTGTGTCGACCGGCGACGCCGAAAGCAGCAGGTCCCCGCTGGGAGCCCAGGCCAGGCTGGTGACAGGGCTGTGCCCGGGGTAGGACAGCACCTGAGCGCAGCCGGACGACGGTCTGGAGGGAAAGAGGGAGAAACCGCCCTGGTTGATGGCGGGAAGGGTTGGCCCACGCGCCGCCGAGAGCCGGCGCTGCGTCCCCCGGCAGGGTGGGCACCCGCCTGGCGTTAACCCGACGCCGACCCAGAGGGGCTTGGCAACAACTCCCCGCTCCTCCGGCAGGGCCGGGGGGGAGACGCGCGGGGCTGTCACCTCGTGGAGAGGGAGGTGGGATCCAGGTGCCACACCAGGACGCAGGTCTGGCAGGCGACGGCGAGGATGGAGGCGCAGAGCGGCTTCCAGGCCACGGCGGCCACGTTCCTCTGCAGGCGATGCTTCAGCGAGGGGATGGTGGCGCTGGCGGGGAGGAGGGAGGGGTGACAAGAGGGGAAAACGGGGGGGGGGGAGCGGGAGTCCTCACACAGCCCGAGGTGGGCCACACGCCGTCTCCCAGTGTCCTCTCTCCAGCTCTGACCGCAGTGGGGGGGGGCTAAAAGCATCGAGTGGGAAAAGGGAGGGGAGGAGCGTGGGGGGCGGGGGGGGATGTGCCCTGCCATGACCTGCTTCCCTTAAGGGGGGGACAGGGGAGATCCCAGGCAGGTGACACCGGCGCCGTGCACCAAGCCAGAGCACACCTCATGCGATTAAGCGCCGTGCCCCGGGGGGAGATGGCACTTGCTGGCTTGAAATCCCAGCTGGGGGAGAATGCCTCGGGGGGGAGGCGCGGGGAGGGCTGCAGGACCAGCCGGCAGAGTCTTCTCCTGAGGAGGGTTTTACATGCCCTGGGGGAGCGGGGAGACCTGGAGGAGAAAGGAGACTCAAGGCCAGCCAGGCTGTGTGCCACCCGGGCTGCCCCAGCAGCTACAGAGCAGGGAGGGGAAAAAAAAACCCCAAAGCTTAAGTAAGGCCAGAGAATTTTGGAGGTGTCCTTACAGAGCTCCTGCTGCACAGCAAGAGGTTTTGGGGACAGACGGTGCCGGCGAGAGCGAAGCCCGCGCCAACGCCGAGGCAGCGCAGGGCAGAGGCGCCTGGGGGGGGGAATCCTGGGGACGTGCTGGAGGGGGACGTGAGGGCGAAACGGGGAGCAGGGGGGCTGCAGAGGTACCCCCCCACCCCCCCCGAGGAGCGGCGGCTCCCGGGACGTGGCCAGCGGTGCCGGAGGATCGTCCCAGCCCTCACCTGGTGGAGTTGTAGACCCGAATGGAGTCGTCCAGAAGAGCCACGGCAAACTTGCTGGTGTGGGGGTGCCAGGCGAAGGCCCGGACGGTGCAGCCGGCCCTGGAGGGAGGGAGGGAGGGGGGTGAGGCACGCCAGGCACCCCACCCGTGATCCCGGCTCAAGGCAGCGGCGATGGGCGCTCAGGCATCGCGCGTGACCACCCAGCAGCCCCCCCCCAGGCCGACAAAGGCAGTTCCCAGAGCCACCAGTGAAATAAAACTTCCTTTTCGCCGCAGAATTGGACCATTTTCTCTGACAAATTCCCCGTCCCTAACAACTTTTTGCAGGATCCTGCTGAGGGGGTGGGTAACGCACAGTCCAGGGTCGGTATTTGAAGGAATTTTCCAAGCCCTGATCTAGTTTAATGCTGTTCCCCTCCACGTGCAACAACAGGGCGCGCTCTGCCTCTCGCCGTCGGCCACAAACTGGGGCAGCCGGATGGGGAAATACCTGTCTAACGGGGATGCTGAACGCATTAAACAAGGAAAAAAAAAAAGGGGGCGAGCCCATCCTCGTACCCCCAGCCCCTTCGCTCAGCTCCGTAAGCCCCTCTCGCAGGGTTTTGCTGACGCCCGCGCACGGTGGTTTCGCAACGCCCAGGACTCACCAGTCCACGGCCTGGGAGAACGCCGCGATCATGTCTTCGCTGGTTAGCTTCGGGGGAGAAAAGTTAACGCTGAGCCAGGCCCAGACACGAGAGCCTCTGGTACAGCAGTGAGGGCCACCCCCCCCCCCACCCCGGCTGTGTCCAAACCCCCCCTTCCCTCTCCCCACACCTCGATTTCAGTCCCTCTCGCAGCGCTTTGCTGCCCTAACGCCTCCCCAGCGCCCGTTCCCCTCCCTCTATCGAGGGAGACCCGCAGTGTTTTCAGCTGAGCGCCACCAGGAGGGATATTTCACCGTGTTTTCAGCTGAGAAACACCCACCCGCCATCCCAACCCGCGCAGGACGCGCCTGCCTCCCCGAGCAGGAGGGTTATAATCCCCAAAAGACTCACCGAGAGGTGAGGGAAGAGGGAGCCATGCAGCGAGGAGAGCCAGTGGCACACGGCCAGCGTGTAGCTCGAGCCCGTCTTCACCCACTGCAGCCCTGCGGGGAGGGAAGGAGCATCAGCCCTTCCACACCTTCGGCGAGAGGCCGGGTGCCCTGGGTGCTCAGGCCACGGCACCGGCTGGGAGGAGGAGGCACGGGCGGCTGCGATGGGATGAAGGGAACTGAAGGATCAACAGCTTGATCCGGAGAGATCCAGGAGAGATCCAGGAGATCTCCGAGTCCTCGGCGAGCGGCCCAGACTCACCCTCCTCCTCGGCGCCGGCGATCTCTTTCAGCACCCCGCACAGCCCCACGTCCCGCCTGCAGCGGAAAGCTCGGTCAGCGACACGAAGCCCAGACCACCAATCCCCCCATCCCTTCAAAACCCTGCCGAAACCCACCCTGGGGCTTCCAAACCAGCTCTCCCCTCAACTGGGTGGGGGGGGGGGGTACACTTACTGTGGTCACCTGTGACTGTGGGACCCCCCCCCCCCCCCCCCGCCACGCTGAGCTCTCAGCTGTATTTGTGACACCCCAAAACTCCCCCACCCAGGGAGCCGAGAGCTGGGGTGCTGCACAGCCCCGGGAGGAGGCTGCGCCCTCCCCGCTGCTCGTGGGTGAGAACTGAAGGGGCTGAGAGGCCCCCGCCACGTTCCAGAGCAAAGGGGCTGCGGGACAGGTCTGGGGAAGGGGGTTTGAGGGTGAACAGGGAGCTCGGGGTTTTGGCTGCCGTTGGGTCTGGCTGTTTTGGGTTTTTTTTTGGGGGGGGGGCGGGTGGGTTGTGGGCACTCACCAGGCGCTGAGGCACCTCTTCCAGAGGGATTCGCGGTGGTGGATGAAGGGCGGGCGGGTGCTGTGCTCCAGGCGGCTGTGAGCCTTGAGGGTTTCCTTGGGCAGGCTGAGGACGGGCAGGTCAGCGAGCTGCGAGCGCAGGAACCGCCGTGAGCCGAGCTCGGGGCTGGGGGGGGGGCCCCCACCCCCCCCACCCCGCTTTGCAGAGGTGAGAAAAGGAGGGGTGCAAAGGAACGATGAAATCCCTCAGGTGTGAGCCCAGCTGCTTCAGGGCTGTGGGTAAACTGGGGGGGGGAGGGGGGGGGGGGTACGGGGTGACACCCCCAGCAGAAGGGGAGGGGGGGGGGCTTATCCCCAGCCGGGGGGGGTGTGGGGTGTGTTACCCCCAGCAAAAGGGGAGGGAGGGGGAAACACCTCCAGCAAAAGGCGGGGGTGGGGGGGGAAACACCTCCAGCAAAAGGGGGGGAAACACCTCCAGCAAAAGGGGGGGCGGGGGGGGAAACACCTCCAGCAAAAGGGGGGGGGGGGGGGGCGACACCCCCAGCAAAAGGGGGGGGGGGGGGGCGACACCCCCAGCAAAAGGGGGGGGGGGGGGGCGACACCCCCAGCAAAAGGGGGGGGGGGGGGGGCGACACCCCCAGCAAAAGGGGGGGGGGGGGGGGCGACACCCCCAGCAAAAGGGGGGGGGGGGGGCGACACCCCCAGCAAAAGGGGGGGGGGGGGGCGACACCCCCAGCAAAAGGGGGGGGGGGGCGACACCCCCAGCAAAAGGGGGGGGGGGGGGGCGACACCCCCAGCAAAAGGGGGGGGGGGGGCGACACCCCCAGCAAAAGGGGAGGGGGGGGGCGACACCCCCAGCAAAAGGGGAGGGGGGGGGCGACACCCCCAGCAAAAGGGGAGGGGGGGGGCGACACCCCCAGCAAAAGGGGAAGGGGGGGGGGGGGGCGACACCCCCAGCAGAAGGGGAAGGGGGGGGGGGGGGGCGACACCCCCAGCAGAAGGGGAAGGGGGGGGGGGGGCGACACCCCCAGCAGAAGGGGAAGGGGGGGGGGGGCGACACCCCCAGCAGAAGGGGGGGTGTTACCCCCAGCCAAGGGTGTGAGGGTGACCCCCCCAGCAAAAAGAGGGGGGGCGGGGGGCTTGACACCCCTAGCAGAAAGGGGATGGGGGGGTGTTACCTCCAGCTTGGGGGGGGGGGAGGGTGTGACACACCCAGCAGAGGCGGGGGGGGGGGTGGGGGTGTTGCCCCCAGCAAAAAGGGGGTGGGGGGAGTGACACCCCCAGCAAAAGGGGGGTAGGGCAGTGTTACCCCCATCAGAAGGGGGGGGTGGCACCCCCAGCAGAAGGGGGGATGAGGGGGGGGTGTTTCCCCTCAGCAGAAGGGGGGGTGAGGGGGGGGTGTTTGGGGGGGTGTTCCCCTCGGCAGAAGGTGGGCGTGGGGGGGGGGGTGTTCCCCTCGGCAGAAGGGGGGATGGGGGGGGGTGTGTGTTCCCCTCGGCAGAAGGGGGGTGAGGGGGGGGGGGGTGTTCCCCTCGGCAGAAGGGGGGGGTGAGGGGGGGGTGTTCCCCTCGGCAGAAGGGGGGGTGAGGGGGGGGGGGTGTTCCCCTCGGCAGAAGGGGGGTGAGGGGGGCGCGGGGTGATGCGGGGGGGGCTCACCTGGCTCTGGAAGGCGAGCGGCAGCGGCTGGTGGAGGCGGCCGCAGACCAAGGCGTTATTGAACTCGTAGAGGGTGACGTCCCCGGGGGGGGCCGGGGGCGGGAACAGCGCCAGGGAGCACATCCCGCCGCAGGGCTGGGGGCGAAACGCCATGACAAATTGACACACACACCCCCCCCCGCCCCCCCCCAACCCCTCCCCTTCAGCTCCCCCCGGGGGGGGGGGGTCCCCCCTTTCACTCTCCACATCCCCCCCCCTCCCCGGAGTGCGCTGGCTGCAGCCCGACCCCCCCATTCCCAGAACTCCCGGTGCCCCCCCCGCCGGGGGCCGCCATATCGCCCCTCACCCGCCTCCCGCCGAGGGTCAGGCGCCCTCGCGCGCCCCCTGACGGCGGGAGGGTTGAGGGGAGGAATTAAAAGGGCCGCGGCGCGGAGTTGGTGGGGACACACACCCACGCACGGCGGGTGAGACTCCCCCCCCCCCATCGCGGGTCTGCCGCTGCGGTGACTGCGCGGCTCGTCCTCCCCCTCTTCGGAGAACCCGCTTCGGTGAATTAAGCGTTCCTGCTCTGTCAGGCATGGTGATAAATTGGCGGGACACACACACACACACGCACTCACTACAACTCTGGGGGTCATTGCCCCTTTAAGAGAGGCGGGGAAACGGCGCGTGGCGCCGGCGGGTCACGTGGTTCCTGAGCGGGGCTCAGGCGGGAAAGGGCTCACGCGCAACCAAACACCCCCCCCCCCCGTGGGGTCCCCGGGAACCCCCGTGTCCTGCACCCACCCACCCACCCCCACCCCCCCCCCGTGGGGTCCCCGCGCTCCTCTTGCGCCCCGCTCACCGCCCCACCCCCGCCCCTATGGGTGCCCCGGGCACGGTCCCGCGGGGGGCTTTGGGGTGGGGGGTGTGCTCCCTTCTGTGGGTGCCCCCCTTGTGCACGGGTCCCACGGGTGCCACCCCTGGACCTGACTGTGTCGGTGCCCCGTGGGTTCCCGTGTGTCCTCCCCCCCCAACCCTTACCTCCGTCCCGTGGGTGTCCACGTGCCCCCCACCCCATAACCAGGGTCCCATGGGTGACCATGTTCCCCCCCCCAGCCCCGTGTATGGGTCCCGTGGGTGCCCGCGTACCCCCAAACCCCACACCCGGGTCCCGTGGGTGCCCATGTCCCCCCCTCCCCCGGGTCCCATGGGTGCCCACATCCCCCCAGGCAGCACAGTGGGTGCTGCGCTCCCCCCAATCCCCCCCCCCCCCCCAGCCCACCCCCTCCTTGGATCTCTCCCAGCTCCTCTTTTCGGGGCTCTCAATTTCCCTTCCCCTCCTGTTTTCGGCTTGCTTTTATTATATTTATCTCTGTGTTTTCCTTAGCGGCCGCAAAAGTTATTTTAATTTTTTCAGGATATTAAATAAAGGCTGCGGCGGGGGGGGCTGCGGCGGGGGGCCCTGCATTCCTCACCCGTTACGGAGCGAGCGGGGTTTGATAGGAGACAACGATTTGGCCGGCGCCGACATCAGAACCACCGCAGGGCTGGCGTGGCCTTGTGGCTTCCCTTCCCTTGGACCCGCCGGCGGGAGCTGAAACCCCCCCAAAATAACCCCCCCCCCCACCTTGGGCAGGAAAATCTGGTGCTGCCAAAGGGGGGGGGGGGTGTTGGATGAGTTTGGGCTCCGTGGTTTGGGAGGCTCCGGGCGGTCGAGCCCTCGGTGGCCGCCGGGTCGGGGTTTGGCTCGGGGACGTGGCTGGATGCTCTCGTTGGCACTGGCCCACCCACGGCGAGCGGCAGTGGGGCTGCGGGGGGGGGTGGTGGGTGTTTGTTTTGTTTTGGGGGGGGGGACGACACACACACCTCAAAAAAGAGCAAACCTGTATTGGAGGGGCGACCAGAGTTGGGGGGCTCTAAGGAGGGCCGGCACCCTCCAGCCCAAATTCCCCCGGGAGCCATCCTTGGGGGGGGGGGGGGGGAGCGTATTTGTCCCCTTCTGTCTGGTGGCCACTGGGTTCCGGCCACTCTGTTGGCATGGCAACCCCCCCGTGCCTCAGTTTCCCCTTCCTGCATGGTGGGACACACACACACACACACACAGAGCGTGTTGCCCCCCTCCCTGGGGACACCCAGGGCCTGGCCAGCTCTGCGGAGCCGTGGCCACGGTGACTCAGCCCGGGGCTAGCGCACGTGGCCGGGGGTGGCCGCCACGCTGGCACAGGGACCCGCTGCTGTCCCTGTCCCCGTCCCCCTCCATGGGGCAGTGGGTGCCAGCAGCTGCCCCCCCCCACCCCCCCTTTCATGTTGGCGCAGGAGCCCGTTTCCACCTCCCTTTGCCTTTTTCTGTGGCTTTTGGGGTTTTTTTGTGTTTTGTTTGGGTTTTTTTTTTTCATAAAAACCCCAGAAAAGCCCCAAACCGGGGCTGGGCGCATCAAAGGGCTGGCGGGAGCCCAGGGTAGCGGCGGGGGGAGTGCAGGGGGTGTGCTCAGGGCAAGGGGGGTTGGGGTCCCCGCCAGCCCGTGGCACCCAAAATTGGGGTGTCCTTGGTACCACGTGGCCCCACCGCGCACCCACACGCTGCCACGTGGCCCCCGGCCGCGGCGCTGCCGTGGGGAAACTGAGGCACGAGGCAAGGCTGGGCTGAGCTGGGCGTGGGCCGTGCGCACGCGTGTTCCTGTGCATGGGATGGCCTGGGAGCACACACGTGTGCGGGGTGAGGCTGGCGTCATCGCCGCCGCCGCGTGCGGGTGGAAAAGTCCCCTCGTGACCCTGAAAGTGGCTTTGGGAGATCCCTGAGCGTGGGGACGTGGGGCTGCGGGGTCCTGGGGACACGGGGGGCAGAGGGATGTGGGACCGCAGGGTCTTGGGGACATGGGGGACATGGGGATAGGGGATCCTGGGGACACAGGGACATGGGGCGATGGGATTTTGGGGACACGGCCATGGGGACGTGGGACCCTGGGGTCCAGGGAATGGGGAGACATGGGGACAGGGGACCAAGGGACTCGGGGTGAGGGGGCTCTGGGGACACAGGGTCCTGGGGACGAGGGGACATGGGGGGCAGAGGGATGTGGGACCGCAGGGGTACGGGGCCACGAGGAGTGGGGCGGCGTGGGGCTCTGGCAGTGCAGGGACCCAGGGATGGGGGGACAAGGGGACAGAGCCAGATTGTCCCCAACCCTGCTGGGCTCCCGCCACCCCCAGAGAGCGGAGGGACACACACACACACACAGAGTGAATCCAAGTGGGGCCACGTCCCTTCTGTGCCTCAGTTTCCCTTTGAGCACTGGTAGCTGCAGCGGAGGAGGCGCGCGGGAGGAAGGCAGAGCCCATCCGTGTGACGAAGCCGCCCGGCCTCAGCCCCCCCCCCCCGGCGCAGGAGAAGGGGGCACAGCTCGGCTTTCACGCCTTAGCAATCCCTTTATTGCTTTTTTTTTTTTTTGAAGTTTGGGGGGGGGGGGGGGCAGCCAGCTAAAAAAGGGGGGGGGTGTACATTACATTAGTGCCTAACGAACCGGGCGTGCTAACGAGGCCGGAGGCGGAGGAGAAGGGGTGAACCCTGTCCCTGAGCTCTGTGCGGGGGCATGAGGCGGCCGGTGAGGTTTTGGGGGCAAGAAGAAGTGGGGGGGGGGGGGGGGGGGGGGGAAGAGGGGGGGTCTCACCTCAACACCCCCCACCCCCCAAATGTGCCCCAGAGTGCTCGGAGAGCCCCCCCATAATTTAAGACATAAATTATAATTGCTAACGAGGAGCTGCTGCCAGCCCCGGGGGGGGATGCAGGATTGGGGGGGGGGGGGGGGGGGCAGCACCCCGTAATAAATATCCCCAGCAGCGCAGAGGAGGATGAGGATGGAGGACGAAGGCTCAAATCTCCAACAAACTACCGGCCTCGGGGCTGCCGGCGTCTTTCCCGGGAGACGCCGGAGGCTGCCGAGGAGAAGCGGGGGGCTGCTCCCCGCCGGGACCGGGGGCGGCTTTGGGGGTCCCGCTTTCCGCGTGGGTTTTCTGGTGCTTGCTGAGGTGATCGCTGCGGGTAAAGCGCTTGCTGCAGAGGAGGCACGTGAATTTTTTCTCCCGCGTGTGGGTACGGACGTGCCGCTCCAGCTCGTCGCTCCGGGTGAAGCGCTTCCCGCAGAAGAGCCAGTTGCAGACGAAGGGCCGCTCGCCCGTGTGCCACCGCAGGTGGGCTTTGAGGTGCGAGGCTTTGCCGTACACCTTCCCGCAGCCCGGGATGTGGCAGCTGTGCACCGGCTTCCTTCGGGACCCCCCCGGCCCCCCTAAACGCTCCAACTCTTGACAATTGGGGCAATCGCAGGCCGGGCGCCCTCCGACCGAACCGCCGCGGGGTCCCTTCGGGGTTTCGCCCGAAGGGTTGGGTTTAGGGGGAGGGGGCGCGGCGGGGTTCCCGGCGTAAGGCGGGGGGTTGAGAGCCCCGAAATCGGAGCCGTAAGTGGGAAGCGGGGGGCTGAGGGCGGGTTGACCCTGCAGCGAGCCCTGCAGCCCCTCGGCGCCCGCCGGCCCCCCCAGCCACCCCCCGTTGGGGTGCACGTCCCACCAGGAGGGCGCTGCCGGCCCCGAGCCCCCCGGCAGCCCCCCGCCGATGCCGCCCTTGTACCAGGAGCCGTAGGGATGCGGCATCTCCAGCGAGGGGTAGACGCCCGGCAGGCAGTCACCCGGCGGGTGTCCCTTGGCTGTCACCACCACGGGGGCACCCAGCACCTCCTGGGCGCCCGTGGGTGCCGGGAAGGGGTGGCCGAAGGGGCCGTAGTCGGGGCCGTAGGGACCGGGCGACGCCTGGGGGCTGGCGGAGGGCGAGAGCAGCCCCGGGGCGCTGGGGAAGGCGGCGGTGTAGGAGTCACCCATGGCGGCGGCGGCGGCGGCGGCGGGAGGGGGGGGACGGTGGGTGGGAGCACCCCGAGGTGGTGGGGGAGACGTCAGCGGGGGCAGGGGGCCATGGCGCCCGGCGGCCTGCGGGAAGAGGGAGATGGGTGTTAGGGTGCTGGGGGGCACCCGGGGCGACGGGTGCGATGGGGTAACCGGTGTAGTGGGGTACCCAGTCCGGGGGGGGAGGGTATTCAGTGATGGGGGGCACCCAGTGCAATGGGGTAACCAGTGCGGTGGGGTAACCAGTGCGATGGGGTAACCGGTGCGATGGGGCACCCAGTCCAGGGGGGGGTTATCCAATGCTGGGGGGCACCCAGTACAATGGGGTAACCAGCGCAGTGGGGTA